TTTGAAAAAAATAAAAATAAAAATCGCATTTAGATTCGCCTCTTTATAAAGATATTTGAGAAGACGAATGTTATACAATACCCTTTTAAATAAATTTGCATCGATTTTTATTTAAAACGGAGAAACATTTCTAGTAAATCTTGTAATATGAACAAAAATAAAATGATTGTCATTATTTTGATTATTTAGGAACAAATTTCTCTTTATATAAAACAATTTATATTATTACTTTAATGAATCGTAGACATAAATGATTACTTCGTTTTCTATATTTATCATCGGTAAATGCATTTCTTGCACATCATTACTCCTCATTCTGCTGTAAATAATAAAGCAAGAATTGTTGTTTAGGCTTTTAAGTTGTAAGGTCTTATGAAAAAAAAAGCATACGAGAGAGGCTCGTGCGAAATTTTTTCACAGAAAATCTCCATTGTAACGTGTGCCCACACGGAAAATTATGTACTGTACGTAAAGGTGAAGATATATGTGCAATTTTAAGTACCCGGGCTGAGAGAGAATGAACAGGTATTACGTATATTTTAAATTGTTATCGATATTTTATCAGTAAAATAATTCATATTTATATGCCGGGACCACATTGAATCTCCCATCCCGTTTAATTTCGGAATGCTCTATCATGATTCTATTAAAATTTAAATATACATTTACAGAGTGTTTTAGAAGTAGCGTTATATAATAAAACTTGTTAATGTGACTACTGAAGAAACCAGCTGAAAGTGGTCACCTTATACAGGTGATCACATCATTCAAATAGTCACCATTCGCAGATTTAACTGTATAGGAAAATTGGGCCATCAGTTTTCAGGTTCGTGAACAGTGAATCTATTGTGTTCCTTAGAGTGGCCTCTAGATTTTTACCCGTGTGGACACTTCAGAGTTTTGGTTTAATAGAAAAAGATTCAAAATATTAATCACCTAAAACAAAATGGCCATTGTAGAAAAAAGTGGCCAACCTATTGTATTTTCAATGGGCAACATATTGATCTATATGCAATAACCATGAATGTGGGAATGCTGTCAAATTACTTTCTGTAATCTAGGTATGCTACGTATAGTGTGTTTGATGTAGAATGACTGTATCTATGAATAATTGTTCTTTGCAGATCTTTGTTTTCCACGACAGTCTTTTTATTACTCTGTAAGAATCTTGTGTTCTTCTTGTGGTGGTATATTTTCTTTGTGATATATGAAGTGAGTATTTTGTAGATTGTAGAAAGGCACATGATATATATGGGTGTATATATATATATAAATATATATATAATACTGTAGATCTCTATATACAAGNAGTTAACAGCACATTTGTATGTTAGAAATTAGAGATTAGAAATTTAATATAGAATTTAACTGTTTTATGATTAATTTCGTTCATATAGAATCTAAGGGTGGCCCAAAAGTTAGCTAACCACTCAGTTTTAGGTAAGTTTGACAATATAAAACTTATACTACGATTAAGAAAATAAAACAGGTTCTAAAATGGTTAACTTACTTTTGAGCCACCCTGTATATTTTATTTTATATATATATATATATATATATATATATATATATATAATACTGTAGATCTCTATATACAAGATCCATAGGCTACTAAGTGATAAAACGAGTTTTCACTCAGTATGGTGTACTGTCTACCATATTAATGCTGAGTACTTTTTGTATAACACCCTGTAGGCTATCATCTACATATAGCCAAATCTCTATATAGAGTCCTCTTAAATAGCACTACCCTCGTAAAACTTGTAAGCTGGTCTTCCTCAAAATAGTAAACAGAAAAAACTCTTCTGTGAATTACTAAATATACGATTTTACATAGAAAAATGTATCAAATCACATGACTTCCAAACTCGAACTCAGATTTGTGTGTTGATCTCATTACTGTATACAATTCGTAACTGCAGTTTAGTGCCACCCTCGATTTAGTGCCAATTTCAGAGCGCTAAATCGAGGTTTGACTGTATATCAATTACATTATTTAACGCAGACTGATGGAGTGATGATGATGATGAATAAAGAGCATTTAACACTTAATTACACAAATTTATAATAAATTCGTCTAATTTTAAATAAAATATAAACATTTTAANATCATTTAAATACAAATTTCTATTGTATTATAAATAAATAAAGGAAATAATTTGTATCAATAAAAATATTAGAGCAAATTTATTTAAAAATAAATTCCAACGCTCGATTCTTATATGTCTAGAGGCATTAAATCAATGTATATAAATATAAACCTGTCTAAAACGGACCCTGTATAAAACGGAAACCTGCCTAAACGGAAAATAAATCTCGAGAAACGATACAATTTTCTATATAAAATACTAATACATACAATAAACCTGTCTAACGCGGAAACGGAAGGTTTTTTTTAGGTGCACTAATTACATAACGTAACCTGTTTAAAGCGGAATTTAAGTATAAATTGTAAAATTTTTCAGCACATATTTCTGTATTAATAAAAACATAAACCCTCTGTAAAACGAAAAATTTTGGCTGTTAGTTCCGTTTTAGACAGGTTTCCCCCTTTATTAACATTGGCAATTCATAAATTATAATTTTTGGAAAGGATAATTAAATAAAAAAACAAGAATTTAAGCAAATAAAACGAANTTGCGAGATATTCTTTTAAAGATACTTTCCTATTCATTTAATGTTTGACTACGCCTGCTCTATTTATAATTTATCTATAATGTAATAAATATTCTTCTTAATATTTTCTTATAATAAATTGATTGGGGCCCCACCAACTAGGGTCCTCCCAGGAAATTGCCTATTTTTGCACTTAGGATAACGCGCCACTGAGACATGATTGCACATAAAGATTCTGAGGTATGATCAGGCTGTGTACATAGAGATTCGTGGAGGATGCGATAAATACTGCTATTACTGATCCCAGATTGAGAGAACAGATGGCACAGGGATTTGGCAACGTGTGCCAAGATTGCAATACATGAGTCATTATTGGGTGCAATTTTTAATCGACCTAAATCCTCTTCGTTAGTCACGGATCCTCTTAAACTTTGCGACCTGCCGTCCAATGATGAGAAATTGGTGCTGTTTCTAGGGGTTTGCGATTGAATTCCTCTGCGCTGGATGACATTATGAAGGCCTCCATACAGCAGTATGCTTACGGTGCGTGACTTATGGGACACCCTGTATAATCTCCAAATCTTCATTATTAATCTTCTATTACAGATTTCAGAGTAACGCTAATGAGTTGATCGTTGCAAATAATCACTTATAAACAATTATTGTTTACATTATAACAGCAATGAATTACTTCTATCATTGATTGTCATTCTAGAATCCTATTGAAGATCATAGAATCCGAAGTAGACTTAATTTCTTCGATTATTACCATAATCTATAATTAACCCAAGCTTAAAATCTTCAAAGTAATTAATTACACGCCTTATAATCTATAGAGTATAAATTCTAATAAATTTCTTATAAGTAAATACTAAATAATAATCAAAACACGTTGCATGGGTCTTAAGTTCGTTAATTTAAAGTCATGACACGAAGTCAAAACAAGCCGAAAGTTCGACAAGAAACATGAAGTTTGTTTTCTTCATGCTTGTTTTCAAGATTAAAGAGAAAAATAAAGCGTCAGACTTATAGACGTTTCCTAAAAGTGGCAAACTAAGGCTGGATTTAGGGCCTTAACTATAAGAGGCCTTAATGTGTAGCTTCAGATACGAGGGGCCCTACCTTATAACTACATTTTTCCTCTATTAAATACTAATAAATTTAAAATCACAGCTTGTTTATCTTATACCTGAATCGGAACATCTGTAAAACACTAGAAAAATTCTGGATAATGCGTGTGACGTTCTCATTCCCTTTACTCAGATGAATGACGGTATAGAAAATTATTTAAATATTTTTATCTGTATTTTTATCGTCGAAATGGCACGTATTATAACCTCGTTATTGTACGAATCGCTCGTTAAGGATATCTTTTGCCATCGATGCTGTCATAGTCAAGAGTGTACTCTCGAACCATACTCGAGATCTATACCACAGATGTTAGAGTTAACTGTCAACAAGATGCAAGAAATATGTACAGAATCTCACCACCACGTACTGAAAGTTAAAAAAGAAAAATTAATAAATTAATTATATTTTAATTCGCATCTTTAACGTAAAGATGATGAAGTTTGTCAACATCTTCATCTTTATCCATGCAGCATCCTTGCGGCTCTACTTAAATTATTTATATTTTAGGCATTATTTAATGAATTTACCTATTCTAGAAAATGAATTTAATGTATGACTACAGAATTTCTTTTTTTAAATTAGTGTTTCTGTACAGAATTAAATAGAAGGATATTACTTTTTTTTCCGGAAGGAAAAATTCCATTTTATTTCCGAATTAATCCTTATAAAGGATTGATATCGTATCCACCTACGCAGAAACAAAGAAATGAATGGGATAGAACTGATCCATTTTATGCTCTGTCAAGTTGTCAATCAGACATTCTTTAATTATAGTTACATTCTATCTACTTCCCCTCTCTCTCTTCTTACTTTTACCCAAAAAACTTTTTAACTCTAATAAAATTATATAACATTAATTTTATTTTAATTTCTCTTTAATCTTATTTAAAATTTTCTTTTTCACTTTTGCTAAACGGATTAAACGTTACGAAATTTATCTTTTAATACTTTAAATTTGTTTTTTTTTTTTAAATAAAAATGTCTGGCCATTTGTTGAAGGTTAATTTTAGTATTTACCGTGTTTACTGCTCGAAAATTGTACTTTTAAAATTTATTTTTATTAGGAAGTTGCGGGTATGAAATTGCATTGTTTGCCTGAAAATGTGTGTTTGTGTGGGGGGGAATGAAGCCCATTCTTGGATTCCGCCCACGTGCCAAATTCAGACACAAAATTACTTTGAAGTGCAGAGGTCATCGGCCTAGTTTCGTACGCATGCTCCGGTCCAAATTTTGGAAAAGATCAATTTTCTGTATTCTGAATTATAAAGGGAAAAGGAGATAAAATAATAAAGAATATTCGTGATAAAATGATTTTGTATTTATTATATGTTTTTTTCTTTAGAATAAAATTACCAGTTATCTTAAGGAGGGAGGGATAAAAGTTTCTCTCTATTTTACTGATTTTTGTAAGAAAACTTTAAACAAATTAAATATATTCTAAAATAATTTATTTATAACTTTTTTTAATTTAAATTTAAAATATGATATATTATTTTTTATGTTGTATTTATATCTAAAGTTATAAAGAAAGAAGGGGTGAAGAAAATCCTTTGTTTTGAAAATGCTCTAAAGGATTTTATTTATTTATTTATTTATTTATTTTTACAACGGAATTATCAAGTTTTCAATAGAAGTATTATAAAGAATTCTTTCGATTTTAATCTAAATGTATACTTTATAGTGAAAAAAAAACTTTACTTTTTAATAAGGATTTTTATTAAATTTTAATAAAAATTAATAAGTGCCTTATTAATAAAGTAAACGTAAAATAAAATAAATAAATAAATAGATACAAAAGCTTAAATTCTAAAGAATATTTTTTAAAAAATTAATGAGAATTTAGCGAATTTTTTAATAAAAAATAAAATATTTTATATAAAGAGAAATTTTAAAAAACTCATTTAAATGTTTAGAAGAAGAAGAAGAAGAAGAAGAAGAAGAAGAAGGAAAAATCTACCGAATTCCTTTTATTTTTATTTATTTATTTATTTATTTTACTTTTAAAAGGAAAGAATCCTTATAGTTGAATGTTTGATCGTTATTTTTCTTGTAAAGATCCTTACATAAGAATTTATTTTAACGTCGCACCTTTAGAAAATAATTAAATGACATTTTCAAGGTATGTGAAATATTTGTTTACATAATAAAATTACGATAAAAAATAAAAAATAAGCTTAAATTTTATTTATTTTAGTAAAATATTGCTTTATAAATTACTCAAATTTTTTTTCTAACTTCAATTTACTTTGCTTTAAATAGCATTTGTAAGAATAAGCATCGCAGTTGTGGCAAATGTATTATTTTTTTTTAAATATATATTTTTTTCCATATAAAAAAATAAGCAAATTATTTATTTTAAAAAAAATGAAGGAAAACATTTACAAAATTTGATTACCTTAGCGGTTTTTATTTCAAAAAACTTTAATATATATTTATTACTATCAGTTTATGAAGAACGTGGAATTACAGCTGACGACTAAGAATCAATTTTGACGAAAGAAGAGGACGTTGAACTCAATTTATGACTGAAAATAAAATATTTCTAGTAAAATATATTTTATTTATGATGATTTTTTATGTATTTTCTACAAAAAAAAAAAGTAAATGAATAACAAGGAAAAAATTAATCTAAATTCTCGTTAGGTGAATTAAGATATTACTTCGCTTCTCTGATTAAATATGACTTTAACTACGAAAATATCTGAAAGTTTTTATTAAAAAAGTTTAGTAAATTAATTAATAATTTTATTTAGAAAACAGATTGAGCTATTTACGAAAAAAAAATCTTTATTTAAATCGTGCTTGTGTTAGACTTTGTTCTCTCTCTCCGAGATGGCACCACTTATTTCGTAGTGTTGCCAGCGATTATTACTATAAATTCTAGCATTTTATCGGATTATTTATGTTGAAAATATATATAGTAAAATAATAAAGTGTTTTAAATATATTTATTTGTTAAGAAAAGTAAGAGTTTGTACGTAATATAAAAAATAATACAATATAATTAACGAAGAAATTGAACTATTTCGTGAGCGTGAGTTAAATTAAAATGTTCAGGATATGTAAATCAAGGTATGGTATTCAAATGGTCAAAATTAGTGTGGTTGCTCAGTAGAGTGCTCTTGGCTGTAGAGTTACGGGTGTAAATACAGGGAATACTGTTTAAAAACCACACAAGTAGTGTATCGCGGATAGCAAACTGTAAAAGTGTTTCCAGGACTCACTATGTCTCATCAACGATGAAAGGAGCAATACTAACAAATGACGGAGTTTGAACGCTGGCCTTCATAAAGGCCAACTTTCGTTCTTCGACAATGTTGCTCGTGCAGGACATAACGCTACGTGTAGAGGCAGTGGACCAAAGAACACAGTTCGATGCCGTATGTTTCAAAGAGCGTTTGCACGCTACTCTTTGTGGTGGATTTCCTTGACTTTCAGCCAACGATGTATTAGGCTACAATGGGGACAAGAATGACGTGCCGATTGACAACAAGTAATGTTTTTAGATGGGTTCCAATTTAACTTGGATCACAAGAAGGCCATATACATTACAAGATATCGTGGTGAACGTCATCTTGCAGTATCCATTTTAGAGCATCATATTGGACGAATGCCAAGTGTGATGATAAGAGGCACCATACACCATTGAATGCCATTCAAGATTTCACTTACTACGAACTGAGGGTAATCTCAGCAGAGATTGCTACTTCACGGAATATATAGAGGCAGAAGTCATACCTTTTCTTCAGAGCAGTCCTGGTGCTATATTCTAGCAGGACAATGTCCAAGCACATGTTGCCAGGAATGTTCAAGATCTCTTAAAAGCACGGCGATACCGCTTCTATTCTAGCCTATCCGTCGCCAGACGTATATCCCATTGAGCATGTCTCAAATATATTCACTCGGCAACTGACCTGTCAAAATTCTCCAGTACCAATGAACTATATATATATAAGGCAAGCATACAAGCGCCTGACAAGCAATTCCTCAGAACACCATTCAAATATCTAGTATTTATACTAAGATTAATAATATGTACAGTACAATGGAAAAAGATTGAAGTGAAATTTTAATAAAAGTAAAGTTGGTATCCAGGTCTGTCCTAGATACGTCAGAATTCACCCTCACTATCCTGCCGACATAATGTAGGCCTGACCGAACTCATGATGGGTACGAATAATATATTTATACATTATTTTAAAAACAAAACAGAAATTGAACGTTGTCATGGCAAGGAGAAAAGTCGTATGCTTTTCCAACACTGAGATGAAAATTTATTACATCTTCTACTCGAATCTTCCAGTTTTAAATTGATTTATGGCTATTATATATAGGCTATATCGGAACGGACGTAATATCGGGATTCGATCGAAAAAGAAATTGAAATGGTACGTATTTTGATAGATTTTTATCTATTTTAAGCATTAAATAGCCTGTAATAAATAATTAATTAAACATGTAAAAAAAATTAAAAATTTACAATTTGTTGAGTAATAAATACAAGAGATCGTAGTGATTTCTGTACTGAAAATACAAAAAGTATAAAGCATATTTGAAGAATAAGCTACTAAAAAAGAATATACAATATACCCTGCTATACGACGGAGGGAAATAAATCCTCGATTTACGACCGATTGCCAGATCCCACCAGTTGCCGAGTTGATGAAAATTAGTAAAGTCTGGTACGTGGTTGCCTACCACGTTTTATTTTTACCTTTGTAACACGTAAATAAGGCTCAGTTTTTCTTAGAAAATCCTCCCGGGAATATGGGAAGCTCTATGGCTCTTATTTTAACATAACTAAACACTAATATGACTGCTTGCTGAGCAAATTTCACTTTTACGACTGGTATAGGTTTTATATTGTTATCCACTTTTACTTTTCCGGATCTTATATACAACAGAAGACAAGTATGGCCGTCGGTACCCCAATATTTTTACATTTTTGGACTCGGAGGGCCTCGAAACGTCGAGAAATGCAAAAAGTTCGGGTATTTTTCTATATGTAAGGATGCTGGTGTGTGACACGATTTCGAAAGGTTAATAAGTCCTTTGTTTTTTGTCGAAAATTTCTGAAATTTTGTACGGAGGTTTGTATATTAGGGAGATTGATGCTATTAAATTTTGGTAGTTAAAGGTCGAGGGGGTGGGAAAATAGAGAAGAATCATATATCAAGCCTCGAGAGGGGTCGGAAGATTTTACTCGTTATTAGCATTTACAAATTTTTGTTTTATAAAACTATCCTCAAAATTAAGCGTTTTGCCATTTTATAATATTTAATAATATAAAAAATTTTATAACAAAATCTCATAATAATTTATTATGAGTAATAATATAAAAGTTATTTTTAAAATAAAATCTCATAACAACCGGGCAAGTTATGCAACTCGTTGCTAGATTTTTTTAAAATAAGAAAACATTCTAAATATTTAATTTATTAAAAACAAAATGACTAAAGGTCCACTAAAGAGCTAGAGGAACACGCCCTACTCCCGGGTTGCATACAATTTCACTGTTGAAATGTTTATTGAATCTTGTCTTTTCTTTAGGAATACTCAAAAGTAAATACAATGCCAGAAACTAAAATAATTAGAATAATTTACAAAAAAAGAGAAGAGGAAAAAAATATAAATGGCCTGAAATATAAATATAAAACTTTTGCAGATATTTGCCCAAATTTGAAGAGTTGGTAAAAGTATGTTAGCCCATTTGTAATAAAACTAATAATATATGTTACTTACTATGATAATTATAATGATAAAGCAAATCACTTGAAAGTAGAAGATGTAAATATCATTCAAACGAATTTCGATTGTAATTTTTCATTCCGAATAAATATGTCTCAAACGACATCCATGGATCAAATATTTCTTGAGAGAGTCATGACATTTTTCCGTATACAATTGAATCTCTTGTCCCTTGTTTAAGAAGATTTTCTCTAGTAATATACAAGGAGTTCCACGAGATAATTGCAATTGCATTATTATTGCAGCGTGTTCTAGAGGCTTAGGAGTTTCAAAAGTATACCACAAACATAGCCTCAAAACGTATTGTTTCAGTTTAAATTAGCTACTTAAGTTAATTGAAGCTCCATTTCTTCATCGGAAATACAATTTAAATTTCATTTCTAAGATAAAGCAGTATTTCGATCATTTTGGACAAAAAGTGTATTCAAAGGCCTGTGTAATGGCGTCAATGTTGCCATAAAGGTTTCTCGATCGGCATTGTCCAAATATTCTGCTAGAGTTCGAGCTTTTGGAACGAAAATTTGATCGATTGCGAGTTTTCCTTCCGTGTGAACGTTTAGACAGGCCTTACATTTTTATAAATTATATATTTTCACAGAGTACTTTGTTAAATCATTTGTCTGCATATATAAATATTTTAATGGCATATCTAGTGGATATTTTTTCTAAATTGATTGAAATGAAACTGTCATTTACAGAAAGAAAACCAAACTTTTTTTTCAAAAATGTACTGTCACGCAAGCTGACGTTTTAGATATCATGCAATCAAAACTACGACACGGATTGCTTTCTTCCATTACACGATTTTCCAGTTGAAATCGATAAATATCGTGATAAAAATCTTCGTCAGCCATCTCATCACTTTACGTTTAAACGTATAAAGGAAGAAATAAATAATATTTTCGTATTTTTGTGTAAATTATTAACAATGTTAGAATGTCCCATTAGGGTATTTATTTAACTTCCCCATCTGACCAGTCATTTTCAAGAGCTTTTCTGTTTTTTTCCTAACGTAATAATTGGATGTTTAACTCGAAACATGCAGTAAAGTGATCTTTCTTATACATTATTTATGTATTTAATTACACTACTACACATTGTACTAGAGTAATTAAATACATAAATAATCTATAGGAATGATAACTTTACTTTGTATTTATATAGCATTATTATTATTATTTATTGCAGTGGTAGCGTTGTGTTAGGACTGGGCCTGTCGAAAATCGATTCCAGCCGTCGCCATCTTGCTGTTTGTTGATATCCAGTACTTTTGAATACATTATTTCTGTCATTTGTTTGATTAATGTCTTCGGGTATTAAGGTGTCTCATATCTTATGGCAGCGGTTCCCACTAAACTTTTCGATTGGTGGGCCAAATTGCGCATTAGTTGTAGATAGGAAGCCACATATTTAATACAATATGTAGTTATTGTATTAAGTAGTTATTGTATTAAATATGTAGTTATTGTATTAAATATTGTCTATCATTTGTGACGTGTCATATATTCGTGGGCCGTAGTTTGAGCATCATTGCCTTAAAGGTGTAACCAGGATAACCTGTTTTAATTGATAATGCTTGAATGTAAACGCAAGGTGTATTTTTTTTCAATTTCGTTAATTTTCACAATATTGTTGTTAACAAAATTAATACTTTTGATTTCATAATTTATCAAACTTAATACTTAAACCCGGAAAACTTCACGTGGTCAGCCCGTTGACTAGGGTGTGATATGTAAGGTGAATGGTTGCGATGAACAAATTAAATAATGATTCAATTTGGAATGTTATCGTGAGGGGTATTTGTAAGAAAGTAGTGTAATGAATACGAAGAAACTACGGAATATTCAATTTATGAAATTCACGCTAATAGATCCATTAAATTATAAATACATACCAGATCCTAATCAAGATAATGATGTTCGGATGTTCGAGTTGAACTGAAAAAACCGTGATTATCTTTTAATCAATATTCGAACTTTGAGTGATGAAATTCAATTTCTTAACGAATTATAATTACGATCGTAGAAGTCACACTGGATTATTAATGTTTTAAAGTAGAGATAAATGCATAGCGCTTACAATACCCGAAATTATCTTCATTGTTGTCGAAAAGTATTGTTTTTTAATAATAAGAGTTGAAACAATTGTTGGAGTGATTGTTTAATTCTGAAATTTTTCGTGTCAAATATTTCGAAATACAGTATTTGTTTAATTAAAAATTTGTAAAATTCTTTCATTTTATTCCTTAAAATATGTTAAACAGCTGAACTAACTTGAATATCTCAGAAAATAAATATAATAATTTTTTTTATTATTATAAATCAGTGTTAAACTGACCTTACAATATCACTCACGACGCGACTGAGTGTTCATTCCAAGTTTACAGTGCAATGTACCTGTACGGTACAGTACAGTACGTTCATTCCAAGCTTCACGCCCTGTTCAAGCGATCGACTGTACTTGAATTCTGCGTGTCATTAAGTGGTATGAAAGAAGAGTGAAGATGTATTTTTTCATGTCAACGAGTTGTAATTGTCTTGAAAACTTGTAGGGTAGGAAAACATTCTTATTTTAATTCGTATTTGAAAAATGTCTCGAGTTGTTTGATCCAAGAATTTTACAACAGGTTTTCTACAGCTGCACAGGAGCTTTATTTATTCATTAAGTCACAAGATTATAGTAATAACTATAAAAGAGAGGAAGCATAGGAAATACTTCGAAAATATTGGCTTATTTTTTACCAATCCCTTTGTGGATTGGGCCAGGCCTACAATAGGGTAGCCCGGTATATAGGCGGAATGACCACCTTCCGAAAAATTCTTAGTCCTTTATGTTAATAGAATCCTATCTATATCCGTGCAGGATTCTATACAGGGTCATCCCGATTGATAAGATGTAATCTTAATCTCTTGCCATCCGGCACCTGTAGATTGTCTGTAGTTGTAAATTTTTGTATGGTAATCAAATTCCTGTTTTCCATATATTATAGTTTCAGCAAGTATTTGTCAAATGCTTATCGAACAACTTGGCTTTTGAGTTTGTCTGACAGATTTATTAGAGTTTTGTTTTGTTTCCTGTGAAATCTGGTGTTTTCTAGCATACTCGTCCGAAATGTGTTATCCAACATGTTTCTACCATTAAAAACTCCAAGTTCTCATTTACAGAGCAAATACTTTTTTTGATAAAATATTGTAAGTTAATAAAAGGATCCAGTACCCTCCGGTGGTATTATGGCAATGTGTTTTCCATCGTATGCTCCCCCAAGATTGGAAAATTGTACCTCGTTTCGAAGTCTACAGATACTTGCAGCCATTCTATTTCTTCGTTTTGAGAAACTAAAACTTAAATGGAACATAAAAATTACGATAAAACGTGCATTGATTAAGTATTAATTCGTCTAAAAGGACGAGATTAGAAGTAAGGACAAAGTAAAATGAAACTTGTTATGAACGGAAAGATCGACGAAGGTCGGTTTAGGTAGAGTTCGAATGCCAAGTTAGGAAGACGATTTTCTAGCCACTGTGTTCGATATTTTTTCATTTATAAAATCACTAGCAGATGAGCCCGGCGTTGCTCGGGCAAAAAGTAACGATAGCGAAGATTAAGGTTATTACATTATAGTTGATCTTACCCGTTTTCACCGGGTACAAGAATTAGGTTCACTCTCTTCTCAGAATAATTAGAGATTCGATTTCCCGCAAAAGCGCAAGTAACCAAATTTAATTAATTAATTAAAATAGTACAGTAGAAGCCGACTTCAGGGTAATCCTTATCCTCTCAGGGTATCTCTATTCCTCTCCCCCGCGGGAGAATTTAGAGAAATTCCTTCTTAGGGTACATTGTTTGTTTGTTGTTTGTTAATTTATGGCAACGCAACACTTGAGCAATCTGCCTAGGTGGAATGCCTTCCGGGAAGTCTTTTAATTTAAAGGAAACTTGCCTCCATTTAGGCGTTACAACGTGGAGAAAACCCGGAAAACTCCACGAGGCCAGCCCGTTTGCCATGCCCCAACCCAGGACTAACTAACTACTAGAGTTTTATGCACTCTGCTATTTGAGGACACTTATTAAAATTAAGAAAGTACCGTTTAGAAATGAAAAAACCAGAGTCGTTAGATGTGATAAATGAAATGCTTAATAGATTTTTCACAGGGTAATACTTTCAATTTCACACATTCTTGTTTATATATACAGTATGTATAGATTAGCAAAAATGAATCACTGAGAGCATTATCCTCAGTGAAAGCTTAGCTTTATTAACCAATATTTGAACTGAAATCCAGGATTTTTCTGCCCTTTCCCTTCATGATGATGATAATTAACTGAGATGTGGTTAATTGAACAGTGCAAAATTTTCCATTCCAATCCTTAGCTTACTGCTACAAGATTTGGGTTTGAGTCAGATCATTGCTTGCTATCACACTGCAAGTTGGGCATAATTCTGGATAGCCATGTAGTCTGTAATGTGCTGAACCTCATGTTAATTAATTAACCAACATTAGATTAGTATTTATGATTTAAGAAAAAATAATATCTTGATCATAAAGAATTTATTATTTAAAAACATTGGTTTCTACATAAACTGAAAAATATTTTTCAATTTATTTCACATTAAAGGAAAAATATACAAATATTAACCTAAGTATAATTTAAAATAATATTAAATCATACATAATTCATATACAAATAAACACTGGGGGAATGTAGGAAGGAAGGAATTATCTACAGTTAAATGTTGATAACAACACAGAGGCTAAATCACAGATGACCAGATCCATTAAATAATGTATAACACAACAAACTTATTAAAAAAAAAAAGGGATTGCAGATTGCAAATTTTTAATGTATTTATATTTTAAGAATGACAATATGTCAATTAAAAATTACAAAATATTTCACATTACTTTGCTACTGTTTCACCTTATAAAAATATACAAGCAGAAAAATTTTTAAGATGTCTCCTCAATTTAAAAAGAAAATTTTTTTTTTTTTTTTAACACAGTTTGAATCTTCAGGAAGAACAAAGTTTGGTTTTTCATAAATGAAAACAAAAATGCAAGAAGACATTTGTTGGCTTTAACTGCTTTCTTTGTAAGATTCTTATCGTAATTTTTTAATTATTCTGAAGATGATGTTCTATTTTTTCCAGCATATCATATAAATGACTTTGATGAGGTATATCATTAAAAGACTGTACACAGGCACTGTATATTTCATTCCAAATTTTTAGTGTGTCTTTAAATCTGAAATATTAAAAAAAATATGTTTAAATTTAAATATATTAATGTACCTAATCTGTTAGTATGAATATTGTAATATTAATAAGTCAAATTTTAAAATCTTACTTGGATGGTTTATTACTGTAACATTTCACTAATGTCTTTAAAACAAACTGTAGACGCTGCTCAAATAAGGACAGTAATCTATCTTGTTCGTTCTTTTCTTCTTCGCTTTCGTCAGACGGACTCTGACTATTTACCTTGGCTACGTCCGTTTCGCTTCTTTTAATTATTAATTTCAAAACTGGTCTAGCAGAAACCATGCATTCCAAAATGATCTGAAGGGTCTTCACTTTAGAACCGAAACCAGTCAGGGCTGCAATAAAATTAAGTATTTGATAAGTAAATCTAATAAAATGTAGAAGACATAAATCTAAAGAATAAATCTTTATCCAAAATGCAATTAATATGTTGATGTTAAAGATAAAATTATGTTAGTTACTAAAACGCCATCAATAGATGATGGCATTTTAGTAACTAACAGATATTGCTATTGATAACAAAATAATGGCAAAATATTAAGTTCCATTATGTTGAAAAAATATTGAGAGACATATTACGTAGGATGAGGAAAGTAGTTCTTATTAACATTTGTCAGTATGGTGTCATGCCGTCTTTGGCCTGTATCTCTTCAGCAACTCTCATAGACATGCTTTCAAACATCACTGTTGGAATGATGTAGTTGTATAGAAATCCTTCTCCAGGCAAATAGCCATATTCAAGCATGGCCATCCAATCAGAAAATAGCTTATCATGATTCATCAGTTCTGAATTATTTAGTGCTATTTTTAAAATCCCATTGTTAAAAGCAGATTAAGTAATTCAGCTAAGTTACCAAAGTAGATAGTACATCATTCATCAATAACACAACACTCATTGTTCCGCTTATTGGAAGTCCAAGAACTGCACTCCAAGCATCATTACAGGTGCTGTTGTTCATCCACTGCTGTGATGTTGGGCTTGTGTGTAGCCACTTGTCCTTGACAACCCTACAGATTGTTCTTGTGCTAACTGATGCTCCAATGGCTTTTGATATCTCCTGAAGAATTGTTTTAGATGATGAGCCTGATGCCTTCATAACTCACACAAAGCATCATTTCTTCCATTCAGTCAGTTTACATGATCTCCCCGAATATAGCCGTATCCACTTCTGAATAATATTGCCAACAGTGGATTTTGGCAGGTCCAAAAGCACTGCAATGACCTAGACTGCTTACTCAGGTTGCATCTCTCCACTATCTTCCATTGGAAGTCTGTCAATTGTGCCTCATGTGCCATCCTGATGGTATCTATATCGGAAGATGTTAGTGTAATACTCTACTTTTTACTTACTGCCCATGATCTCCTAGACATTTGCATTTTCCATTCATCTCACAGGATGGGATCAGTGGATGTTCCACTATTTTTGTCAACATATAGTACATAAATTAAATAGTGATAATTAATACCATTGAAAAATTTAGTCTGTCTTCATACATATTTATAAAAATGCACATTATGCACACTGCATAATGTTTAAATAAATGAACTGTAAATTTAATTCAACACTGAAAAATATTCACTGTTCTATGAGTTTAGTATACTTTAACCAAAGAAGCCCTTGTGCCATTAAAAACAAACCAATCCAATCATGCTTGGTCTGTATGTAGGGGTGACATCTGCACTCAAGAATTTTACTGCTAATTTATGATTTATTAGTTTGTAACTATTCTGCTATATATATTCTTGATGATTTTTTTTCTTTTGCTTGTTCTACATTAAATGCTTTTGTTATACAAGGGCATTCCAGAAAGTAACTTATGTTTTAGAATAAAAAAACCCAAGTGAAAGAAAATATTTTTTATCATATACATTTGAAAGCCATACTCAAACTATTTTTCAACATAGTTGCCATTCAAATTGAGGCACTTATCATAACAGTGCACAAGCTTATTAATTCCATTGTCATAGAATTTTGCCATCTGAGACTTCAACCACTCATTCATGTCTGTCTGTAGTTTTATGTTGTCGTCAAAATGCTGCATTGTGAGCCACAACTTCGTGTGTGGAAACAAATGGTAGTCGCTCAGCACAAGATCTGGATTGCATGGCAGATGATCAAAGATCTCCCATCCAAAACCTGTCAAGTGAAATTGGCCATGTGTGGGTGGGCATTGTCATGAAAAAATAAAATCTTGAAACACAATTTTTCCCAGTGTTTGTTTTGAATCACTCTTTTTAACTTTTTTAACATTTCTCAATATCTCTCAGAGTTTACTGTTGAACCATATTTGAGGAAATCCACCAGAAGCACACCCTTCCTATCCCAAAAAACAGTCGCCATGATCTTTCTTGCTGACAACATTTGCAAACATTTCCTTGGTTTTGTGGAAGAACTTATTTGTCCCCACTCTATAGACTCTATTTGTCTCACAATTCATGTTTTATCCAAGTCTCATCCCCAGTTACAATATGATTGAGAAGTGAGTCACCATCTGTGGTAAGCTTCCAGAAATGTCAACAATGCTGCCATGTGCTGTTTTTTTGTAGTCATTTAACTAAGATTTTTGGTATCCATCTGGTACTAAACTTATGATAACCTAGCTTGTGCATTACAACCTCATGCAACAAATTTCATGAAATTTGTGGAAACTCAAACGAGAGCTCCCATAATTGTGAAGCAATGGTTTTCACAAATCTTTCCATTAATTTTCACCAGTCAAAATGTTCGGTCAGTCACTTTGCTTTTCATTGTAAACATTAGTGCAGCCATTTTTAAACATAATGCACCACTGCCTCACTCCAACTTCACTCTTTATGCCGTTTCCATACACCTCATAAAGTTGCCAATGAATATCAATTTGTTTGTGGTTTTTTGCCAACAAAAACTTAATCACTGATGGCACTTCATAACTTGTGGGATTTTCAATTGCAGCACACATTTTAAAAATTTACAGTGGAAAAAGCAGAAGCAACACAAAAACCACATGCTAACACAGCTGAATGCATAATAGGTAAGGGGACGCTTTGACACCAAAATGGCAGCTCTAGCCCAATCCAACACACCTAGCAGCCAAAACGTAAGTTACTTTCTGGATTGCCGACGTAATAAAAAAGGCATTTCTGAATTCTTTATTACAGAATTACTGTATTTTCTCAACTAAACCCCAGGTAGATTTATTACCTTGTAACAGGAAATGAGCAGGTAAAAGTCAAAGAAAATAGTACCTTAATTACTCGTACATTTTCCAAACTATCAAAATCATTTATTGATTATATTTATGGATTATAGCTAAAATATTTAAAATAATTACTGATCCATTGTCTTCCAATTCATGTCTGCTTCAATTTTATTGGGATCAAGATCTTGTCTACCATCTTCTGGTTCAAACTCACTATCTCTTTTCAGTTTGAGTTTTCCTAATTATCCTTCAGCTGATAAGCCCTCAACTTATGAATGCAATCATGACTTCCCATGCTCAATATTTGACAATATTTATAATTTTATTTCAAAAGAATGTTTCTTGGAACCTTGGAATAGAAGAGGTAGAAATGAAGAATGATATTGAAGCAGGTAGAATTTTAATTAATCTTCTTACCTGTCACTCTAAACTACATTACTCTGTACTGTGTAATACTTTAATTAAGCATTGGGTTTAATAGAAGAAACACTAATTTGTTCTTTGCTTCTAGTATTTCAACTACAATACTGTAAAAGTATTCATATTCACAAAAATATCTATCACAGTATTAAATAATGACGAGATAATTAGATCTAGTTCTATCAATTCCGGATAAACCAATTTTATTTTATATATATATATGATATATGAAAAACATTTTAACAACCTGTTCAATTCCAGAACACCATTTTTAGTGAAATATTTCTACATTCATAACTATAATTTTAAATCAGCAGTTCTCAACCCCTAAAAAAGCTAAAGTTGTGAAATATTAGGTAATTTATAATTAAATACCACATGCTTATCATTAGGACTGCAAGTTTGAAATTAAATTAGATTTTTTTCATGTATAGGTAATTGTAAAAGGTTGTATTAATAGTGTTGCAGGAAAATATTTATTACAATTCATAATTCATCTAAAGTTAACAATCATGATATATTAATTACCATTTAAATGATGCTCCCATAATCCAATTCTTTCCATAGCAGCTCTAAGAAATTCATTGCAGTGATCCAAAGTACCAAATATAGTACAAGCTTTAACATAATGTGAATCAGCTAATGTTCTCATCTGTTTGCATCTTGAATCATTATACATCTAAAAATTACAAAAGTAAATATAATTAGAAGATAATTTCCTTTTTATATGTTAGTATTTACATTGAGATCTATTAAATTTTACCTGATTCCTATAAGAATTATGATATAATGATCCTAATCTGTGATGAATAGTGGCTGTACGATATTGATAAATAGCTTGCTTTGGACCCACTACATCTTTATATTCACAAAGCTTCAATGCTTTTAGCATCAATTCATTAACTTCCTTTTCTATCTGAAACCATAAAAAAATTAACTGTATTATAAATTACTGTCTTTTCAGATTCAATGTTTTATTTATTGTTATTTTTAGTTCAAATTAGAATCTACATAATTTATAACTAAAATATTTTATGCAAAAGCTCTCCAAATAAATGCTAATAATTTATATATTCAATTTAATAATTATTAAAAATTTCTTAACTATATAGTGATATGCTAGATTGAAGTTAATAACTAAGAGCAACTGTTTTACTATGTCTTATGTTTGCATTCTGTTAATGTTAGCTCCTAAATGTACATAAAATCATTAAAAAATTAACCAATTTTACTATTATTAAATAAATCTTTTAAAGTATTAAATGAAGATGAATTTTTTTAATCAGTATATGTCAAAATCAAAGCTTTAGCAAGAGAATTTTCTAGCTATAAGGTATGAGGAACATCTAGGAAAGGCAAAGAAAAAACACTTTCCTATACTTTAACATATTACTAAGTAATATTTAATATTTCTATAATATGATAAAGATGATGATTATAATTTTTAATTAAGCACAATGTCACTAACAATGACATTTATAATGCATTCCTCATGCAAACAATTCCCATTAAATATTAATCCTTTTTGCCTCTATGCTCCTACTTTTATTGATTTCTGTTTTTATCTTGTCTACTTTGGACTTTATTTATTAATAGGACTTATTTTTCTAACTAAGTTCCCGTCTACTTGCTATACAGAAACTACACCAGTACAATTAATAAGTCCTATTAATAAATAAAGTCCAAAGTAAACAAGGATAAAAACAGAAATCAATCCCCATTAAAATTCAGAAATAAAAACATCTGTGCAATTTTTGATTTGGTTTCAGCTTGTGTCAAAATTAAAACAACACACACAAGTATACATGGTAAAAATACAGAAATGAATGCCCTCCATTTCAACGAATCATCCAAATGCCTTGTCTGATAACCTACCAATATATCAAAAACAATTCCACAACTGTTAGTGGTCCTAGCAGACAACTGTTTTTCAAAAAATAATGCTGTATATATATATATTGCTATATATAATACATATTATATATATATATATGTATTAAGCACATTAAACTTTGTCAATTTACATACATATGACTTTAAGTTTCAGCTACTCACATTTTGTAATGTTGACATAGTTATTGCTTTATAGTTTTTGACACCAGTGTAGTAACTATGTATCTTTTACACTGAATAATAATAAACAAATTGCTAAATCAGCAAAGCAGGAAAGTTTCAAAATACCTCTTCAGATCTTCATTTTAACAGGTCTTCATTCAAACTTATTTCTCAGAAAAGATGTATTGATGTTAGAATTATTTCAGAAACTTTTATTTTCTTTCATATCAGATTAAATCAAAAACATTAGTTAAGATGTCATATTTATACTCTTTAATCATAAAACTGAAGAAACAGCTGTGTTAATTTTCCTAAAAGTAAATTCTGTAAAATTTTATTAAATTTTCTTTGAATGTATTTTAGAATGAAAAAGTATCATTCCTATATAAAAACAAGGAATTCAATCCATACACATATTCTACATTATTATTTTTAAATATCACTTTTGGTAGCTTTTATTACGATCTATGTATGTATGTATGTATGTCTCTTTAATCCGAAATTAAGTTCGGTAGACTATCATTACAGCTTTCAGGTTACACACTTTTATTGTTTCCACATATGTATTCCCTCATGTTAAGCCCTCATCCACTGAAGGGGGTAAGTCTGAAATGCATATGTGGAAACAATAAAAGAAGTGTCTAACCTGAAAGCTGTAACGATAGTCTACCGAACTTAATTTCAGATTAAAGAGACATACAAAAATAGATATTATTTTTAAACTGTAGAAATTAAATGAAAAAACTTTTGTATTCAATTTGAGTAATAAATATATGAAATGTACTTTCATAACATTTTCAGGATTTAAAAAAGATTGTATATTCAAATTACATTCTTCATACTGGAGAAAAGAATTCTCTCTTTCACAACTTATACTAATTAATCTTGTTCATACAAATTTCATAAATAACATATTTTTATTGAAAATTACCATTTAAGAAATAAAAATAATGTAAAGTAGCTAATTCAATTATCTTTTTTAACAAATAAATAGAAGTTGCATTATGGTTAAAAAATCCAGTAACAAATTGCTTAACTTTCCCAGCAACATTTAAAACTGTGTGTGATGCCACCTGTTACGATATTTTATTTAAAAAACTTTTTATATTTTTAATTATATTATAAAATGGAAAAAAAACTTAATTTTGAAGATAGGTATAGGTTTTATAAAACATTGTAAATGTTAATAACGAGGAAAACTGTCATTAAGTCCAACCCTACTTAAATTTTGATGGTTAAATAAACTCAATAGCACTAATCCCCCTAATACATAAACCTCCCTAAAAAATTTTTTAAATATTTGACAAAAAGCATAGTTATTGAGTTTCAAACAGGGTGAACAAAATTGTGCCCCCCACCACATCCATACATCAGAAAAAAAAAAACCCAAATTTTTTTGCATTTCTCAATGTTTCAAGATCCCAAGTCCAAAAATCTGAAAATCTTGGTGGGGGGGTAAATTTTTGAACAATTGCCATACTTTTCCTCTGTCCTATATAATGTAGCCAAGAAAGTGAAAAAATAGCCCATGATTTCAGGGAGAAATGATTATTACAAAAGTTTCATTTCTAGAAAATTTAATAATTTGCTTAAATTCAAAATAAGTACTCATTTTTATATATTAATAATTAACATATTAATTTATGTTCTAGATTTGGACTTTTTAAAACTTGTATCCCAAAGAATCATGAAACTAATTTGTATTTTTCTCATAAATGCACATTGAATGGTTTTTATTTTTGTTTCAATTTAAAACTGTTTTGTGGATAATATTTACTAGTTGCATAAAATTAAAAATAGAATATAAAAATATTCAACTTAAATTCTGAAATAATTTCTGTAAATTAAATACCTACCTCCTCTTGTCCAAATGCAGAATGTGGTGCATAATCTTGCAACAAGCTTGCCATAGTGAATAAAGTGGTTGATAATTCCCAATTTACAGTATCCCATATCTCAGGAAATTTAGAATGATTATCTAAAACTTGAGATGCTGCATTATAGTAGCTGATAGCCTATAAATTATATTCATAAAGAACCAATAGTTAAATAACAAATATTTTTGTGTGTATAAATATATATAATATATCTTACATTTTACCTTATTATAATATTTCCTTTCTTGTGATGAAAATTCTTTACGAGTTCCATCGTTATTAGTTGGAACTTGTGCATGCGCCCAAAGTCTCATTAGCCTTCCTGTATTTGAATAAAGTAATGCAATGTTTGCAATGTCGTTTACGTCCTGAAATGCCTTTATTCCACGTTCTAGAAATGAATGACTCTTTTTCCACAATTCTGAAATCTTATCCATTAGTTTACCTTTCAAAATAATAAATAATAATAATTACAGTTTGAATTTTATATTTTTGTTTAAAGTTTCATATTGAAATAGGGCTGTGCTAAATCAAAATTTTGATATTAATATTCCTTCAATATAGCACAGCACTATAATGAAACATTTCCTTAAAAGACAATTTAATAAATTACAGAGAATTATATAAATGTATTTGGTTTCAAATTAAATTGAATGCATATTTTTCTCTAAACTAAAGAGTTTGAATGTTTTAATCAATTGAAAATTACAGTACATTTTGACATATGCTTCACACATCATATTGTGCACTAAACTTTAGAATATATATGTGTGTGTATATATATATATATATAATTGTTTTTGTACCTTGTGAGTTTATTTATTTATATATATGTTATATATATAATAAATAAACTCACAACGTACAAAAACAATTTTTACTATAGCATATTGTGAAAACTCTCATTTCACCCTCAATGTGTTACTATTTGTTCAAAAGCTTGATATTGCATGCCAAATGGCTGCATTTATTGATAGAACCATAACCATCATTCAGTATGTTGGCATATTGACAGACATTTTGTCCCATTGTGAACTTGATTCATGGAAGATGGGCAAGACTCCATCACACAAAGGTTGTTTTTCATGTCATTGCAGAATACCCTGATGACAAATTATTTCACTGGACTATAGACAAATGTGTGAAAAGAAATTGATTGGACATTAAATTTATTATTAGGTTAATTCCAAAGAATACTTTTCAAAATTTCTTCTTCAAATAAAAAATTTAAATCTTTTTCTCTCATTTTATTATTTGACTCCAAAAGAAATTGGTAATAATGTTCACTTTTCACCTAAATAAAATGGAGGCATATATTTTGCCAAAATTATTCACTTAATCTGCAATCATCTGCACAAGGTAGCAATTCCCCAATGATTTCTCATGCTAAATTATGCTGCATATAATTGCCATTCCCAAAATTTCCTACATTATGCCTTCTCTGCACATGCTACCATATTTCAATAATATTATTGTACTTGTAAACAAAATTATGTCCATATACAAACATCTCTAAACCAGATATATTTGTAATAAAACAAACAACTAGCAGATAACATCAAGCAACTTTTCTGTGATTATATTTAATTAATTTCTAAATAATTTGACCTAGAGTACAGCGATAGGTGTCATCTCTTATTAAATTTAATAATTATAATTAAATTAATTTAGAATATGCTGGAAGAAAAGAATCGGCCTGGAACAGGACTCAAACTCGCAACTCCGGCTTATCATGAGGATGCATAAAATATGCATCAAAAGACTTGTAAGTGCAAAAAATCACTGCTACTACATGTGATCATAAATTAAAAAATTTAACTTATTATAATTATTAAATTACTACAAAATAATATCAACTTATAACTTAATATGTCTATTTAATGTTTTGCTATTCATACAACGTTTATGTATTCAATATATTTACCTGTTTCATTCCAAAGACGAGTTCCTTGATTCATATAGAACACTCCTAATTCATTACATATATTTCCTTGACGTTTCACAAGACGTTCAAAATCTTTTTTTGATTTATCACACAAAACATTCTGAGCAGTTTCATAACACCTACAACTTAAATTCAAACTACTCTCCAAATCGACAGGCCAACTGTATGCCCAACTATATACTAAAACAAAAAACAAAACAGATTAATGATAAAATTTCAGATTAAAATAAAATCTAAGCTTTAGAAATTTTTATTTCTACATTAGAATGATTGGATTTAAATAAAGTAGCTATAATTAAAATGTATTTAATATATTGAACCATCTAAAAATCATAAATATAATTTTCTAAATGTTGTTGTAGAAGAAGCTACAGGATATACTACCAAATCAGGGGATGTAATCCCCTTTCCATAGGATAACCCAGTTTAAAAAAAAATTATTTAAAAACTTAGTTTCATTTATTGTAAAAATAGTCTAAAAATGTTCAAATATCTGTTTAAATTTAGTAGTTTTTTAATTTTATTTAAAGATTTCTTCATGGGTCAATGTCTGTTTTCATCTAGGCCAGGGGTGTCCAACCTTTTTGTTTCTCTGGGCCACATTGGAAGAAGTCATAAAATTCTGGGCCACAAGTATATCGTGGCCCAATCCGTAAATATACTTGTATATTTAAGGATCTACAGGCCTAGATTATAGTAATAAGTATTAAAACTTTATCACGAAAATAGATATTTTAAAAAATTACTTCTACAGACACTTTTAATTTCTACTTATAAATAGATAAATTTATTTATTATAAAGGAAAAAAACAAAAATTTATTTGAAAAACACAAATATTTGTTTTATTTGGGTTTTTAATTAAAAAAAACGAAACACAGTTCTAAAGTGCATTTTTATTCAACAAATATATTTATAAATAATATGTAGGCCAAAATTGTAGCCAATGACCCAAATGATATTTTTTACGCCAAACTAAAAAAGGGTAGCCAAATTTGGCGCAAAGTTGCCAAATCTTTCAACCCTGAAAGGAGTATTAAATAAAGCTATAGTTGGTATTCAAACGATTATAGACCTAAATTCGGAGAAAGGACAGAAAGGTCAAAAAATAAAGAAGTGAAAAGGTTAAAAGACCTTCTGTTATGCAAATATTGATCCTTAATTTTTCAACCTTTTTCAATTATTTTTATTTTTTTGCTATTCTCTTCTTTCCCTGAATTTGGGGCTATAATCCTTTGAGTCACGACTTCAGCTTTATTTAGTATTCCTTCCTCATTCACACATTTCAAGCATTTGAAAATATTTCCTTTCTATTAAAAAATAAAATACGTATAAAAGTTTAGGGCTTTGTGAAACTTCTTTTTTGAGGTTTATGCCCTTAAAATAAATAAATAAATAAAAATTTGTCAGTTTTGTTTACACGTTTTTCGGGCCGCATTGGAACTTGCCTTGGGCCGCATGCGGCCCGCGGGCTGGACACCCCTGATCTAGGCATTATAAAATATGCAACTACTACTACAATGGAAACATGTTATGTGAATGCATCACTCAAGAATGCTTTCATTACAATTATGTAATACTAAAGAGGAATCAATATGACAGAGATTTGAAATGCATTTATATTTGACAGAGAATAATAAAAAATGTATCAATGTTAGCATGGTTAGTTGGTTTGCTGTGATTCTAAACAATCAAAATTCAGTAACAAAATCACTTAGTATACAAATTAATAAAAAAGCAACAGAATACTTTTTCTTACTTTAAGTAAATTAATGCTGAATATACAATTTTTAGCTTTAAATCTATGATTGGTTTAGCTAAATTTGTTGATATTTTAGTAAAATAATTGACAATATTTATTTTAAAAATTAACTACAATTTTAAAAAGTTTAGGGAAATAGCATAAAGTTTACAGAAGATTGATGGTGTGGTAACGCAGTGTTTCGAATGAATCTTTTTTTAGTTTTAAAAATATTCTAACAGGTTCATTATGTCAACCAGGTTATTATTTATTATTTACTGGGTTATAGAGAATGAGAATTTTTATTAAATTTTTAAGATGCTAATGTGAGTAAATTGGCACACGAGGAGGGCCAAGTAATACATCCAAAATGCATATTAGAGTTAATACACAGGAACAAAGTAAAATAAAAAAACATTCACTTTAAATCATTTGTGGTTATTATGATAAGTTTAAAAAAAAAAAAAAAAACAGAATAACCAAAAGTATAGTACATCAAGATTATTAAACCAAACAAGAAGCAAATTACAATATACTTATTTCAGTTTATTATGAGTTAAGTATAGTGTAAAATTAGCCTGAAAAGCCTACAATTAGTTTCGAATAAAATTTTATTTCTCACTAGTTTAAAATACTTTTTGTAAATTTATCATAAACATACCATACGATATCTTCTTTTTACAGATATGTTCCAGCATTTCCAGTATATCGTTATCTTGGCTGCTTAAATTGTAAAATTCTTCTTTTTGTAACTGTTGATCTATGTACTGTTCATTATGCACCATCATGAAGTGAATGTCGCCCGCTAATTCTAACAAATAAGCCAGTGGTTCGGTTGACCAAGAAGCATTTTGATTTATCACTATAAACTGTGTACATTCTGGAAGAAAAAAAAAATTTAATTATAAAATATAAATGTGAAATACCAAATAAAATTTAAAAACCAAATCTTATTTACCATAACATATTAAACCCATTTTTATATTTTTTAAAGTTTCGCCATACTTTTTTACTTTATTACTTATTTCTACCATACTACAATAGATTTCGACGGCTTTTCTAAGCAACAACACTTGACAGCCATTTGTCCAGGAATCAGAATTTATAGGCACGGAGGTAATATTTTTATTGGCGGGAGAAGTTTGAGACGCTTTGTTGTTATCAGATTCAAAGCATTCTGTGTGAAAATCCTCGTTCAAACTTTTATCATCTCCTGCCGAATTTGTTTCAAATGTATGCAGAGGAGAATAGTTCAAAGGAATGGACTGATATGGATTTGCAATTTTCACTTCACCTTCTTTTTGTTCTTGACTACTGTTCTGTTTCTTAATATTTTCATCTTCATTTTCTTTTTCTTCATCATATTCCAACAAGCATTGAAGAGCCTAGAATAAAATCACAAATTTATATAAGTTTTTTTCAAACAAAATAAATGGTAAAAACCAAATTAACTGAACTAGGATCAAACTTTATAAGATATAATACTACCAAATAAATACAAAATATAATCCAGGTTAACAGTTAAGAGCTTCAACTCTGTATATAATATTAATCAAATATTCTGATCTAGCAACTCCTGTGATCTGGCACATTTTGAATCTAAGCTCCTAAACATAACAGTTGACAGATCTTTAAACAGAGAACTGATAAGATCGGGGCATCCACTGCCTGGAAACTTCTTTAGCAATTGTGGAAAATGTTAAGCTTTAGCATAACCTTCCTATTTTTTTTTCAAAACATTGAAATTCTCTTTGTACTCAGCACATTGTATTGATGTTAAAACACCCCTTAAACTATGCTGCTACAGAAAACAGCAGAATTACAAAATTTCCAATTTTTAATGTTTAATTATTATTGTAAATTAAATGCAAATTTGGCTGTTTCTTACAAAATTTTTAAAAGTATTGTTTATAGTTTTGTTTCAAGATTGCATTACTTACCAATAAAATATATTAATCTATTACATTTCAAATGATGTTAAGGAACTTTAAATTTGGTATGTTACATTGGGTGTATGGTCTGGAACACAGAAAAAATAAATGGTGGCCCCTTTTGGGCAGACTTTGTCTTCAATTTTATTAAATAATAATAATCTCCATTATTATTATATAATTATTATTAAATAATTTACAAATATATTATAATATTAATATCTAGTATTTATTAATATTAGGTAGTCAGTTAATTAAAACTAATAATAAAAACTCTGGTCTTTAAACCCAAATTAAAAATAAAATCAAAATTAATTAATTAATTAAAATTTAAATTAAAATCATCAAATCAGTTGAAACATAATATTTCCAAAAGTGTGGGTAAAGTACTTGTTGTCTGTCTGGATTGATTTGGTTATATTTCATCCGGGCAGACAGAGTTGAGACTATTTATAGCACTTCTTTCTAAAGTATTGGTGTTGATGGTGATAGAACATTTTGCTTTTAATATATATATAAAATAGATATAGATGATAATATATTATACATAATGTTATCTGTATCTTGTGTGTCTATAATATCTATTGGATACTGTAGGCATTTTTATGCATGAAATACAGCTAAAAAGGTAAAAAAGTAAGGCTTTTCTTTAAAAGTCAGAAACAGATTAATCCACTTTACATTGTTTCTTAAGAGAAAATTTGTTTTGATTTGAGAACAAATCAGTTTCCAAACAACTTTTAAAAACAAATTAAGTTAGTAAAATGAGATTACAAGCTTTTCAATTTATATCTGTCTTGGTAATATTTAATATTTTTATTATAATTTTATCATTTGTTGATCTAGTTATGCAAGTATATTCCTTCTCAAGTGCATGTATTTTACACTGCTATATATTACAATATTTACCATCTACCCATCTGCTTCACTTGACAAAACAATTTGGTCTTCATTATAAAATTTAAATAGTCAAAAATAGCATGTAAATATTACCCTAAAAAAGTATGTAAATTATATTAAAATTATGAATCCTGTAATTGTCATAAATTTTGATTATTAATATAAAATGCTTATGATTATTGTGTAAACAGCATATGAAAAATGATTAAACGTACATGGGGTATTCAAAAAGTTTCCAGAAAGTGGTTATTATTTTATAAAAGAATGCAGTATTTATAATTAAATGATGTAAGAATAAACTTGTTGAGCCTTGTTTTATTAGTATTCATGTCTGGCCTGCTAGAGTTTTTAAAATTCCAATTTAAGGCATTTTCTGGCAGTCAATAAATCAAGTGATTAAAAATTGAAGCACCGATTTCTACCAGAAGGGCTTGGAAGCTTTCCATCTTATGGAAAAATCATTTCAAATTTAAATGAAACATATGTTGAAAAATAAAGTGCTAAATTCAATTTTCTGTCTTTTTAGTTACATTTTCTTTTTGAATACCCAGTATTTGTATATTCAACATTAAACAAAATATAGTCTATATTTTTAAATTATCTACAAAATCAGAAGTTCTAAAAGAAAATCAGAAAGATTAAAACTTACATAATTCAAACTCCAACACATCCATGTTATAAATTTTAAACTGCTTTGCCAGGCACTAAACACACATCTTACCAGCAAGCTATTACGACAAACCCATTTCTGTAGTATTTTCAGACTGTGATGCTATAGTCTGAAAATACTACAGAAAATTTTTTCACCATAATAGCTTGCTGATTTTACATGTAATAAATAGTCTCCAATTTAAGTAAATAAGCAGTTTGAAATGCATAACACAAAGATTAAAATCAAGAATTTGATCTGACTATGTCATTTTTAACTAAAATTTACTGCATCATCAAAATAATAGCAAATAATAATTTACACTTACTTTTAGCACATGCGATAGCGCATCGCGACATCTGTCATTCCAATTTTTGCTTATCCTGAAGGAAGATTTTTCATTCTTTTTGTATTCTTCTCTTTTGAGCATATGTGGAACACACAGGGCCTGAACGTCAACTGACATGATGTTATCATTACTATCACTCTCCAAGTCATCTTCATCCTCCATACTGCCATCGCTGATGTCGTCACTACTTTCACTTTCTTCAAATGCAAAATTGTGAATTGTAGCTAAATCAATGTTGCTTGGAACGTATATATCAGAGAGGAGATAATGAATTGACGTAACTACCTATTATAAAAATTGATCAAGTAAAATCATATAACTAATTGACGGCATTAATTTTAGAATAATGCCAATCAAAGTGTCAAAAAAGAATTTTATTTCCAATAACTAAAACATAAAACAACATAAATGCAAAATAGAATAAATTATAATCATAACAACAAATAACTGAATTTTTATCTGTAATTATAAATTAACACTGGTCAAAATGTGGCTCACAAGCCATGAATGGTTCTCAAAAAATTAGCAATGTGGCTTATGCAGCATATCTGATCATCAAATATAACTATGATGTATAATCTATTATATTATGTTACATTACATTATTTTAATTGTGAAAATATTCTCAATAAGTATGTAAATATTTACAGCACATCAATACAAAGTATCATGACAAACCTGTCTTCAATGACTATACCCTCTTATTTTTATTTATTTAATAAAAGCACTTAACACCTTATATGCTGAGATATATTTATTGAAACACAAACATTTTCAGCCTAATGGAATAGGCCATCTTCAGGTGAACTGGCATTCGAACGTATTTCAAAATTGTATTAAATGGTATTTCGTTCGATCATTACAAACTCAAAATTAAAACGAAAAATAAATTAACCAATCAATATACAAAATAAGTATACTAAATAGATTGACGCCATATTAATATAAATAATGAATAAGGCAATATAAAAATAAAAACAAAAATAAAAATAAAAAACAAAATAAATAAACCTAAAGGATTAAATGCACAAAAGGACTAAATTCATAAAAATATATACATAAAAAACATTACATTATAAAGGGCAGATAGAAACTAAGAATTTGTGTGTTTAATACACACAAATTCTTAGTTCCTATCTGCAAAATATGGCGTCAATCTATTTAGTATACTTATTTTGTATATTGATTGGTTAATTTATTTTTCGTTTTAATTTTGAATTTATAGTGATCGAACGTTCCATTTAATACAATTTTGAAATACGTTCGAATGCCAGTTCACCTGAAGATGGCCTATTCCATTAGGCTGAAAATGTTTGTGTTTCAATAAATATATCTCAGCATATAAGGTATTAAGTGTTTTTATTAAAGGTTAAAAGAAGCTGAGTGGAGTTTCAATTTATTTATTTACTACTTTATCATTTTAATGACATGGTTATTATAAACTAGCAGACCCCGCCAAGCCTTGTTGTGGCTCAAAATGTATCTATTATAAATGTATAACACTTCCCCCGTGGGGGAAAATTTTTCGAAAAATTTTTTCTTAGTGTACATTCTCTTGACGTACCCTATTAAAACACAATCAAAAACGCAAAAACCCGCATCTAAAATAGTATAATAGAAGCCATGTTCTTCACAGTAAGCCTTAATCCTGTCCCTCTCTCCCGCGGGGGGAATATCAAAAAATCCCTTCTTTGTGTACATTCTGTTGACGTACTCTATTAAAACGCAATCAAAAACGNATCTAGTGGGATGGCTGAGGCAATTGAGGCATTATCCTATTGCTCTGGGGTCCCAGAATCATATTCCAGCAAGTCAACTTCTCAGGGATTTTTCATGGCAATCTGTCTCGGACATGCTGGATCCCACCCCCTACCATGGGCCTGGCTGAACTCACAATGGGTATGGGAAAAATTTCCTCAGTGCCCATAGGGTGGAGAGAGTAGTGAGAAAAGCTTTTTTAACATAATCTAGTTTTCAACATGACCATATTTCTCAGATTATTGTTTTTCAAATAATGGTTTGTAAAGTGGAAATACATTTTAAATGAAATTTTAACATACCTTTGGATGTTTCTTTTCGTCTAATAAAACCAAGCAATTTTTTAGCAGTTTATAAATAGTTTTTTGATTTTGAAATGCATCTACAGACTTCATCATGTTTCTGGCCACTTTGTATAACAACATAGCAACTGGCAAAGTAAATGGATTTTGTTCTTTATCATCTATCACTTCAGAACAAAGTGTAGTCAAATCATAAAGCTTCACTACATCATCATTCTTTCCTGGAAAAAAATTAAAATTAATTATTTTGATTAAATATTGAGTAAAATAATAAAAGTAATTAAATTGTTCCTTAATAACTTAAACCATAAAGACTGGTGCATTTACAACAAATGACTTCCAACAACTTAACACAGCGTTGAATATAACAATCCACAAAAACCCTTTTTTTACAAGTGTTATGTCCGTAGTACACTCCACAAATGCTTTCAACCTCCACCGAGGTCTGCTTCAGGTGGCGACTGACTGTGTTTCCTCCTGACCATCGTAATGATGTCGCCAGAGATGTAAATAATTGTGTATGTCGGGTTTCACCCCTCCGACAGTTCCTGTTCGAATTCCTTGAACAAATACCTCCATGCCTGCGCAATCATTTCACCATCTTTGAAGATGATGCAGGTGCCCCCACTATTAGCTTTATGAATCTCCCAGGTGTTGGATGTGATCAGTTTGGAACACTTGTCTGATTAGTCTGGTGTTCTGGAAGTCCGCTCTTATATCTGGGTCGGTAATGTTGGTCGATAAGGCGGTGGTGTGCCTGTTATTTTTAATATCTGCTTGATGTTCTCGTATCCGCTTTTGTGTCGAGCAGATGGTGGATCTAGCCAATGTAAACCAAGTCCCTATGAAATCTGTCGTCCCTGATGGGAATGGAGTATACACCTGGGGCCCTGCTGAGATCCATCGCGTCCTTGGCATTGCGCAGCAGGTCATATACAATGCCGGTTCTCATGTATGCAATCTTCATGCGGTTGCAGCAAGCAATCTCCCTGTATAGGGGGTCTAAATGTTGGACGACAACCACCAAACTGATAGGAACGTTAAGTGTGCGGTCATCCGGTTCAACCAACATTTAGACCCCCTACACAGGGAGATTGCCTGCTGCAAGTGCATGAAGATTGCATACATGAGAACCGGCACTGTATATGACCTGCTGCGCAATGCCAAGGACGCGATGGATCTCAGCAGGGCCCCAGGTGTATACTCCATTCCCATCAGGGACGACAGATTTCATANAGTACATGGCTATTCCGTAAAAATGAAAATAACGAGCAATTGTTTATTGTGATATCGTCACAATGCCAAGTTGCAATTTATGCTCTCCACCTCAAATAATATCTTGCCCCTAAACATACTTTTCCTGTTAGCAACAGTCATGCCAGTCATCTATCTTACTCCTTTCAGGGAAAAATTTTTGAATTTAAATAATGTGACTTCTGTATAGTATTTATCTTGTATACTAGTACTTTAAATAAAGTAATAGTATACAAGATAAATATTAAATTAAGATGTAGGACACAAAGGCATAATAATATGACTTCTGGTTTGCATTGGAAGTTTGTATAGTTAATCGGGGTCTCCTGCCCCTAAGTTTTCCACATCTGTAACTGTGAATTAAAATATTTCAGATTAATACATATTTCCAGTAATGAAACAGAACCAAGAGAAATCCTCATATAAAATATCTAGTGGGATGGNCTGCAAGTGCATGAAGATTGCATACATGAGAACCGGCACTGTATATGACCTGCTGCGCAATGCCAAGGACGCGATGGATCTCAGCAGGGCCCCAGGTGTATACTCCATTCCCATCAGGGACGACAGATTTCATAGGGACTTGGTTTACATTGGCTAGGTCCACCATCTGCTCGACACAAAAGCGGATACGAAAATGTCAAGCAGATGTTAAAAATTTGTTCAAGGAATTCGAACAGGAACAGTCAGAGGGGTGAAACCCGACACGCACAATTATTTACATCTCTGGTGACATCATTACGATGGTCAGGAGGAAACACAGTCAGTCACCACCTGAAGCAGACCTCGGTGGAGGTCGAAAGCATTTGTGGAGTGTACTACGGACATAACACTTGTAAAAAAAAAAAATTTCGTGGATTGTTATACTGGTGCATTTAACAGTAAATTTGTGTATATTAATCAGTCCAGTGTAAAACAAGACCTTATTGGTCTTGTTTTACACTGGACTGATAAACAGAAANGTAATGAAACAGAACCAAGAGAAATCCTCATATAAAATATCTAGTGGGATGGCTGAGGCAATTGAGGCATTATCCTATTGCTCTGGGGTCCCAGAATCATATTCCAGCAAGTCAACTTCTCAGGGATTTTTCATGGCAATCTGTCTCGGACATGCTGGATCCCACCCCCTACCATGGGCCTGGCTGAACTCACAATGGGTATGGGAAAAATTTCCTCAGTGCCCATAGGGTGGAGAGAGTAGTGAGAAAAGCTATGTGTTACTATTTGTTCAAAAGCTTGATATTGCATGCCAAATGGCTGCATTTATTGATAGAACCATAACCATCATTCAGTATGTTGGCATATTGNCCCTACCATGGGCCTGGCTGAACTCACAATGGGTATGGGAAAAATTTCCTCAGTGCCCATAGGGTGGAGAGAGTAGGGAAAAAAGCTTTTTTAACATAATCTAGTTTTCAACATGACCATATTTCTCAGATTATTGTTTTTCAAATAATGGTTTGTAAAGTGGAAATACATTTTAAATGAAATTTTAACATACCTTTGGATGTTTCTTTTCGTCTAATAAAACCAAGCAATTTTTTAGCAGTTTATAAATAGTTTTTTGATTTTGAAATGCATCTACAGACTTCATCATGTTTCTGGCCACTTTGTATAACAACATAGCAACTGGCAAAGTAAATGGATTTTGTTCTTTATCATCTATCACTTCAGAACAAAGTGTAGTCAAATCATAAAGCTTCACTACATCATCATTCTTTCCTGGAAAAAAATTAAAATTAATTATTTTGATTAAATATTGAGTAAAATAATAAAAGTAATTAAATTGTTCCTTAATAACTTAAACCATAAAGACTGGTGCATTTACAACAAACGACTTCCAACAACTTAAGACAGCGTTGAATATAACAATCCACAAAAACCCTTTTTTTACAAGTGTTATGTCTGTAGTACACTCCACAAAGATGTCACCAGAGATGTAAATAATTGTGCATGTTGGGTTTCACCCCTCCGACTGTTCCTGTTCGAATTCCTCGAACAAATACCGCCATGCCTGCGCGATCATTTCACCATCTTTGAAGTTGATGCAGGTGCCCCCACTATTAGCTTTATGAATCTTCCAGGCCTCCAGGTGTCGGATGTGATCAGTTCGGAACGCTTGTCTGATTAGTCTGGTGTTCTGGAAGTCAGCCCTTATAACCGGGTCGGTAACGTAGGTCGATAAGGCGGTGGTGTGCCTGTTATTTTTAATATCTGCTTGGCATTCTCGTATCCACTTTTGTGTCGAGCGGATTGTGGATCTAGCCAATGTAAACCAAGTCCCTATGAAATCTGTCGTCCCTGATGGGAATGGAGTATACACTTGGGGCCCTGCTGAGATCCATTGCATCCTTGGCATTGCACAGCAGGTCGTACACAGTGCCGATTCTCATGTACACAATCTTCATGCAGTTGCAGCAAGCAATCTCCCTGTATAGGGGGTCTAAATGTTGGATGACAACCACCAAATTGATAGGAACATTAAGTGTGCGGTCATCCGGTTCAACCAAGTAAAACAAGACCTTATTGATCTTGTTTTACATATTCCATTTTCCAACTGTTTAAAGGTGAATTTCTGTTTATCAGTCCAGTGTAAACTGGACAGATAAACAGAAATTCACCTTTTAACAGTTGGAAATTGGAAAATCTCAGATGCACAGGGACAATTCTGATTATGAATAATAATAAGGAAAAAACATAAAATGAGTTTGAAATATTTTACTCAATGTTTTCCTGTTAATTGTAAAATTTATATAGTTATATTTGTGTCTAGGAATGATCAGGGATTTTTTACCTAAACAAATTTACACAGAATTTTATTTCTGCAATACCTGTTGGCATGCAATCTCTGCAATAAACAAGACCATACTATAAATACTTTTAATATATTGTAAGCTTTTAATTTATTTTATTTATATTCATATAACCTGATCTGAGTTATCAGATATCTCTATATATTAATTCTTTCCAAAAGTAACTTGTGTTTTAGGTATTTGGCATACTTTCAGTATCACAATTTCAGTTGAAAGTAAATTTGGAGAATAACCAAAACTGAATTATAAATGCTAAATGAGAAATTTAATACTAAGCTTAAATCAGCATTGATTGGAGTTAAATATAGAGTATCATATAATAATAGTGAAGAAGTTAAAGAGAATAAGAATATTGTGATATTGGAGTGTGACAATGAAGAAAATGATAAATATGAGGATTCTTGGTGAAAAATGATGTAATTTTGATTAATAAATAAGTTTCAAAACTTAAGCTTAGACTTATTTTTGTCATCAATACTGAAGTTACTTAGTTTCCATAATTAAGCGCAGAAATACCTGGTACTGATTTATCAATATCTCATAATGTTTAATGTTAATGTTTCAGGATCTTATATTCTATAGTTGCTGATCCAAATCATAATCAAATGACTTTTGGAAGAATCTCAATAATATTGCAAATATGAGTAGAGTATTTAGGAGCCAAAAATAAATTGGCAAACATAATTTCCTATGTTTAACAGTTTTCAACCTTTTAAAGAATGAAGATCTAATGAATAGGATTCATTTTCTAGATGTAGAAGCAACCACATGAATTCTTTTGACATTAAAAAAATCCTTTTTTTTTTTATTTTAATAACTTCCAAAGGAAACTTTGATTTTAAAATATATTCTCTAAAAGTGTCCTTTGAATTTAAAAAGTATTCTAATTTATGTAATTTAATGTAGAAAGATCTCCTGAAGAAAATCTACTTGCAGTTTTATAACAAAAGTACTTGAATTAGTTAAGAATTTGTATGTGTGTTCAGTCTAATAATTCTATTTCTTTGTACAAAAAATTAACACCACAAAGCAGCTTCTTTTTATACTGAAATGCATGTAAACCTTAATTTTGACCATCTAATTCAAAATCTGTAAATGTCAATACTCTCAAATATTTTGTTATAGTATAATAATATACAAAAATATAACTATCCATCAACAATGAAATAATCATCCATAATTATTCTGCTAAATTATCCAGCAATATTCATAGTGTGTATAGAAAACAAATATGTATATAAAGAAAATAATGACTATATTCTAATTTATATCAAGATTATATTGTAATTAAGCTGTTCAAAGTTGTAATTATTACACATTTCCTTCAATGTGTTTATCTATTTACATGTCTACTCTTTCTTCTCTAAAAAAGTTTTAATAAATATAAAATTATACATATGAATATATCCTACAAAATCAGAAAATTTTAAAAATTAATCAGAAATAATTAAGTAAAATACTCCTAATTTTCAAACAAAAAGTAGAAAACATTAAAAATATTTCACTTAAGGATAATTTAGTCTTACATTTATAGTTAAACTCATAAATCTAGAGTATTACTTTAAGAAATCAACAAGGTTAATTAATTAAAAACCAAAATTTGTTTCTATTGTCAGTGTGTTTAAATCATATAAAGTGTTTTAAAATACTTATGGAAAATAAATCGATTATCTTTTTGAAACTTGCTTTATATTTATAAATTAACTTAAATAAAAAATGTTTATTAATTTTACATTATTAAATATAACTAGCAGACCCCGCCACGCCTTGTTGTGGTTCAAAATGCATCTATTATAAATGTGTTATAACACTTCCCTCGTGGGGGGGGAATTTTTCGAAAAATTTCTTCTTAGTGTACATTCTGTTGACGTACCCTATTAAAACGCAATCAAAAACGCAAAAACCCGCATCTAAAATAGTATAATAGAAGCCAAGTTTTTCACAGTAAGCCTTAATCCTGTCCCTCTCCCCCGCGGGGGGAATATCGAAAAATCCCTTCTTAGTGTACATTCTGTTGACGTACCCTATTAAAATGCAATCAAAAATGCAAAAAACCGCATCTAAAATAGTATAAATAGAAGCAGAGTTCTTTACGGTAAGCCTTCCCCGTAAGGCTTACCGTAAAGAACTGTCCATCCCCCATGTTTAACGGAATAATATACAGCCTATGTCCACCCTGAAGTTCCACTCTAAATATTGGTGAAAAAATTTTTGAAATCGGATGAGTAGTTTTGGAGATTACCTGCTGCATCCAAACTTACATACATACAAACATTACCTCTTTATAATATTAGTATAGATTAAAACACTAACCTTTAAAAAGCCAATATGTGTGTCCACTTTTTGTAGCATTTGACTTCAAAAACGAAAGAATATTTTGAGCAATATCTTTAACGACATTTGGTGAAAACTGCGAATTTTTGATGTATGGAATATCCCTGGTTTTGATAAATTCGTATTTCTGAAAACATTATTACAAGTTTTTAATATCAACAATAACTGTTTTTATTATTCTTTGAAATATTTTTCATTACAATTACCTGTACAATGCCATTAAGATGATAGCACATCACAACTTCTGGAACATTACACATCAAATTGTCTAGCCAATAATCCAGTCCTGTTAACACATTAATTGGTTTTTTCATATCCCTGCAAATACATAAATGTAGTCTTAGTTTCATATTTAATCCATTTTTTTAATAATGGTTTTAAAACTTAATAAATATTTATATCATTAGGCAATTTTACATAAGTCAGTTTTGTTATTTCATAATTATGAACAGTTTCCAGACTTTGAAAATATAGTAGTTGGACAATTTTTGTGCAACTTTGGTCAGTAGAGTAAATTCTGTACCAAGGCAAACAAAGGTGTCTATACTGGAAAGTGGTGCCACACGAGTTATCAGTAGTAACATTTGAGCATATATGCACTTTTCTTGTACATTATGCATTGGAACTTTTTCCTGAATGCAATAGAGAATAAGAGATAAAAAGTGGATCTAGTGTAATGATGTTGCAGGAAAAAAACAGTGGTTAGATCAGAAAAAGCAATCAAAATCAATAACCAAGATTACAAAAATTTCTATCATTTGTTTAGTGGGATAAATCTGGTTTCATTCATTTGTATTACTATATCCTAATTAAACTATAATTGCAAATGTTTATTGTAAGCAACTAACAAACTTACTACAAATTATGATGAATTGAATCATGAGAATAATCTAGGCATTCTGCAATTTCATCTATTATTGAGAATAGTTCCATCTTGATAAGAGTAGAAAGAGCATCATTATCAAAATCAACGGAGCGTGTTTTTTGTCTTACAATGTCAATCCTTATATCTTTCAAACCATTTTTGTGTAGTGCTTAAACTAACAACATTTTGATTATGTACAGTATTTAATTTATTTCCAGTATTTGTACATTTTTTTCACTTAAAGCATAAAGAGTTCTTTTGTCTTCATTATTACTATCGACTTTAATTGCAGATGTTAAAAAAAATTAGAAAAACCAAGCAATTATTTATTGTAAAATCACCATAATGCCCAGCTGCAATTTTTAATCATTATTTAATTTTTGAAAAATCACATGACTTCCAATCCAGACTGGAAGTTCATATACAGTTAATTGGGGCCTCCAGCTCCTAAGCATCACACACAAGAGTTAGATGAAAATCGAAGTCTCAATTTTCATCTATCTCTGCTCTCAATATTAATGAAGGACACCCAATACAGCTTGAACAATACACAATACAGCAAGCCTCAAGCAAAATATCACATAAAAAGAAAGTAAAAAATACACTGATGACAAATGACGGAAACAGTGAAATATATAGGTCTGCAATTTGAAAACTGCAGTCCAACAAATTAACAACCAAATTATGTTAAAAACACTATATTATGAAGATCTTACCTCTTAAATGCAATTAAACTTATTGAGACTAGTATATTTTCAATATCAGTAATCAAAAATACACATGAACTTATGAACTAACCTATGGTTCACTGTATCACATATTCAAATGATTAGAGAACCAGAATTCAAAATTTGTGAAATTTTTATTAAAACAATCCAAAAATTAATTTTTTAGGAGACAAAAACACCCTTGCCCCCAAATCCAAACTAGTTAATGCTTTATTAACCTGAGTATAATTTATTTGCCATCAACAGCGATAAAAATTTTCCAGATATTGAATCTATTCAAACCCAATGCCTCTCCCAAATTACAGTCTTCATCATTTTATTTTCAAGTATAACTGTAACTAGCAAACAATGCATGATTGGCAAGCAGTTAATAAATAAATATATAATGTAGATGTTAATTTAATTTGCACATTTTCTTTTCATAAGTCTGTCTTCGGATCTCCCTCAAGATAGCTATCAAGATACAAAAAGAAATCAAAAAGTAACACAGGAATATTTTGTGATAATTTAATAGCTAAGCATAAAGAAATTACTTCTTAGGGTATAGAAATATTCTTCAGTCCTGCCATCTAAGAACTTAGCATCACTCAGTCTGCAAAGAAAGTCCTAATGACATCTATGGCATTCTCTTGGGACTTTCTCTAACTGGGACCACTAAGAATGCCACAAATCTATACTAACATTTTAACAAAGTTGCATTATTTCCTTATGATAAACACTGAACAGAGATGTTAAAAATGTCAGATTACTCATGACAATGCTCATCCCCCATGTTGTGGCTGATATTCTTGTCAAAATTGTACAACTTGGCTAGGAGATGGTCCAGCATCCATTCTACAGTCTGAACCTGGTCCTTTGGACTTTTGTCTGTTCTATCCTATGAACAGATTTCTGGATGTGCAACACTCTAAATCAGATGACAAAGTGAAATTGGTCATGTGCAGCTGGCTATATGCCCAAAACAGCAGCTGTATGAACGACGTACAGTACACTAAAATTGGTGCCAAAATGGGAAAGTGTCTAGCTGTTAAATTATTTTTAAAAAAATTCAATTGTGTGTTACATTTTGTTCTCTCATCATATTAAATAACAGATACCTTATCATAAAGTGAAAAGATAGTATCTCTCTCATCTCAAAATACGTAGTAATATAGAAAACTTTATATATAATTTTTTATTTCAATCTGTAAGATTTGATGTATACATATTAAATTCACTTAAAAAAATATGAACTGTATAAATTTATTTACCTTAATTTTAAACTAACTGCAGGATGTGTTCCACCTCCAAATATAGGCATATCCGATCCAATCAGCATACGTATATCTTCAAACGTCCATAAAACATTTCTTAAAAACTCCTGACCACTATCTTGAACCTCATCCTATTTAAATATTATTAAATTATGTGATAAACATTTAAATTTTAATATTTAAATTGATTAATCTTAATCCAATATTTATTCAAAATTTATTAAAACAAAATCATTATATAAATACTAGTGATAAAATTATATACAAGTGTATAAAACTGATAATAATTAATTCTATAATAAAATTATTATTTTTATCAATAAAAGGAGAAATTTCTGAAAGGAATATATAAGTTAGTGAATGTATATAGTTTGCTCCTGTATACGTTCACTAGACAAGTGTTTCTCAACCTGTAACAAATCATTGCCCCCTTCACTTCAAAATTCCGATGCCGAGGGCCAAGGCTAACACCAAATTCGTACTTCATTGAATAGACTAGTGACTAGTATAATGTTATTTGTTTAATTATTGTACGATATAACAAATAAAATATCTAATTATTCTTAATATAATGTTTTACTATATCGCCCAGAAAATTATTTTTTGTTCTTCAAAATATAAATTGTTACTAATCACCCCCTCAATGTGGAAAAATGCCTACATGGGGGCGATATCACCCCCGTTGAGAAACACTGCACTAGACAGTTTAGGACAGAACACTACTGTTAAGAGATTTTCAAGCCTTTTTACATTTGGAGGAAAATGATATCCTGATAATAAGATCAAAATTTCCAAATTTTCTGTAAATATTCCCTTTAAGCACAATTAAGAACAATTTTCAAATATTTATGAAGTGTTTTTACCCATGAATATTCATCACGGAGTTGAATTATTATAATGAAATAGAAAAACTTTCTTTTACAAAATAATGTATCTTCTACATTTATTATCATCCTTATAAAACTGACACCATCCACTGCTATAAAAAATGCCTTTGAATTTTTTCATAATTCATTCCATAAACACACAAAAAATTTAATATATTTTAGTATGTCTTACCTCAACTTCTTTTATTGGATCAGGAATATTTACAGTATAATCAGTAAAGGGAGCAATTGGGCTAGTCGTCTCTCTTGATGATTTCAAGTTACTCGGTTTGGCTGTATCTTCGGAAGATTTTTCCGGTTTTGTCGATTCACTTTCTTCTTCAGAAGAACCTTCGGCAATACTATTTAAAAATTAAACTATTAATATGAACCTTAATGTATCTTACAATATATAGTATATGTTATGTTTGCAAACATATATTTTAAAAATTTTAATGTTTTTCATGCAGAACCATAAATAAAATTTTTTGACACTTCTGGTATACAGTGAAATGCAGTTTGCTTTAAAAAAGCAGAAAATCAATATAAGAAAATTATATTTTTTCCAGTTATTACTAAATAAATTGACAATTTCAGAATCAATACCAAATTTTTTAAAAAGCCATGATCCAATTGCAATATTGGAATTATAAAATTAAGAAATACTTAATGTTTTTGAGCATGAAAGTCACACCATTTTCAGAAACTGATCAATAAAACAATTAAATTGTTTAAAAGTACTGAAAATTCTTAAAGAACAAAGAACAAATAAATACGATTACATTCTATTGATATTTTCATAATAATGTACTGATATCAACATCAACCTCTAATAGAAATGGCAATCCATTAGAATAGGGACAATTAGCAATTAGTAGTCATTTCTGGAATCTTAACCAGGCTGTAAAAATGCACAGTAGCAGGGACCAGTCTATTTACTTAGTGAAAGGAATGACTGTCTGATGAATGTTTGACAGGGTTATTCTGCATTACCAAAAAGGGTTTTTAAATTTTTTAAAACTTTCAGAGCCCCAACTGAGTACTGTGCATCACCTAGCCAAAATATATGAAATATGTAATTGGGTTTAAAGGAAACTTAAACTCAGTATATCAAATACATTCTGAGGCCCCTTAATATTAACACTAATCTCATATAAGAATGTATAATTTAAATAAGCTCACAACTACCATTTAAGCATTTTCGCTGAGACATGGAAAGGATGCTTAATCATTTGGCAAAACCATCTTCTCAAGAGAATGACAAGCAAAGCTATCGATCGATTAATCCATTCAGAAAATATCTAGATCACATTTCCCTCATAATTTTTGAGTATGCTAGTATATTTATAAGCTATAATGATATACAAACATATGTATATTTTTATTATGTACTTTTATCAATTAAATTTTCCAATTGATCTATTTCAAACTTTATCGTGAGGAGTAATTTAAAACTATTAATAATTATGAATAAGGACATTCACAAAATGCTTGTGTGTATTAAAAAACTGCTTTTATAATGTCCAAATTATGCTTTAAAATGCTTTTTTCTAGCAAGAATAAACAAATTTTCTAAATACTTAAAAATGATACTTTTTTTAATCACATATTAATTGAAAGGTATAGTAAAGCAGTAGAATCAGTAGTAATTTTAACTGCTTGGTAAAGAAAAGTATTTTTTAGTCAGGCTGACTTTTGTTTCATATGCTTCACCAAAGAGACATGTCATTGAACAGTAGATTTTTTTCTCATAAGATACCATTTGAAGGCAATAACTGCAGTATAAACATCCTGGCTCTACATAAAAGCCTTCATTTGGAAAGTCATGCAATTGCATTTTTGCAGAAACACTTATATTTAGCATCACATTTATCTGATTTCCAATCTCTAATCAGTCATAAGTACTGTGAATCACAAAAACTAAACCTATCAATAACTCTACCTGCTTACACTTTAATCTCATCATCAACCAATTATTAAATTCACTTCTTTTTATCTTGTAAAATGTATGTCAAATATGTAGTATAATATTCATTTTCTATGATAAATAATTTTTTTGTTGTTTATTGTAAATAAATTATATAAATTTTAATACATAAATGAAAAAAGTAAGACAATTGGCAACTATGTCACTAAGCAGCACCACACCTGTTTATGGGTTTCATACTTGGTTCAGTATAAAAATGCTTTAGAATGCCATTTGACCTATAAATATGCTGTTGAATGCTTTAAATGCTTTCATATTACCCAAACTCTTTTTAATGCTTGGTCCAACTACTGAAATGTCTTCTAAAAGTATCTACATATCAGCAAATAATGTTTTATGAGCCCTTTCACAAGTTATTAACCAAAAATGCTTTTAATGCTTATAATGCTTTTGATTGTCTTTAATTATGAGGAATCTAATTTGTGAAAAGTTTTATAAAAGTTGTTATTTAACAAATTTGATTTAGCTAAATAAAGAACCCAATTTCCTTAGGTCTAACTTCCTTTGTGTAAACTCTTCCATTTGTTACGATAATTGTCCCAGACAATAACAAGCTAAGCCATCTATTTTCTATTTTACACAAAAACAGAAAACACATCTAAACTATATGATTGGCCTAAAAAAAAGGACAAAACTTGGCCTTGATTGGTTAACTCTCAAGAGAGAGAATCACAAGGTTAGAGAGTAAGAATGAAGAAAAAGACAGTGCAGTGACTCAAGAGATCAGAGGAACAATCTTTGATGCCATTCAATATCCCAAAACCACTTTAAGCTCTCCAAATAACTGAAAAATCCAACATTGAAGTCCAAGTAGGATCAACTATCTTCAACAACTGTCCACAACAGAATCATTGACCACTCACTAATCAATAAAAATAAAAACCATTCAACTATCCAGCAAGAAATGTGAAATCCAGCAGAATTTCACATTTCGAATTAGAGAAATAACTGAAGATGAATGCTTAATGCGTTTGAAAACGTTTTTAAATTATTAAAGAATTTGCTGGATAGTTGAATGGTTTTTATTTTTATTGATTTTATTCTCCAGTAAGAAAGTATACTATCATTGACTACGATCAAAGTTTCAAACATTCAAGGTCAACCTTAATATAGATGGAATTAAGCGGGATGGGGTGATGCACTCTCTCTCTCTCTCTCATTTGTTGATATTATATTATACATTTTCCCTCAAGTCTTGAACAAAATCAACTTTTTTTTTAATTGAAAATTAGCATTTGTTACTATTGATGAGAGTATCGCAGCACTCTCCTAGGGACATTCCAGGTGGCGCTTAGATCTTTCTATATATAAGATGATCCTGTTCTATGTAGACTCTCTTCTTGTTCTTTTGTACAGTACATCTACTGTATATAGTGCATATTAAACTTTATTCCAACCAAACAATTCCTTTTACTCTAGCTCATTATCACACTCTGCACCAACTACAACAGTTACTCTCCATCATAAATCTATAAAACACTTGTTTTTTTCTGAACCAATGTCGAGAAAACTGTGGTTTGCCCAGGTCAACCTATTGGATCAGTAGGAAATTCAACCATACATAATTAAATAGAATCAAATAAAAATTAAATTAAAATTTCTAAGTTTATGTCTGTGCCGATGATTACGAAAATGGTCTGCTGTATATATTTTTGTCTGGAGATATTCTGACTTTTGAGTTTGATTTTCTAAAATATTTTTTATCATCACAAAAAGAAAACACAAATATTTACTCCTGCAAAATAGTTTATTTTTAATACCATTGTAAAATTTTTTAAATAGTTTATGAAGTAAATTCAATGTTTTTCTAGTTTTAACTTAGACCAATTTCATAACCAGTAAATATAATATTTATAAAATATTCTATAAGAAATACTCACCTATAATATAGGAATTTTGAAAACATATTCTTATTTTGCAAATAATCTCTACTTTTATTTTTACGAAGCATACATTTTTCCTATAAAAATATTATACAATTACTTTTAAAGTATGCAAATGTAATCAATCATATTTATCTATTATTGAAAGGAAAAAATAATTTAAAATTCAAAAATATAAAACGCTTTTATCTTTTTTAAATTCATTAGTTTAAAACTGCCATTTTATAGACTTTACCAAACTTTGAAAGGTTGTATAGATTTTTATGGACTTTAGTTTTTGCTGCTGATTGTACGCGCAAAACTAATTATTTTAATCTGAATTTTTGAATAGTATCACAAACTTGAATATGACGCATTGAATTTCATTTCATTTTATTAAAAATTTATTAACTATTTCTGATTTAATATGAACTAAACTGCAATAAATTTCTGTAATACAATACTGGAACAAGCTTTATAGTACATAAGAAAAAAAAATTAATGGAAAAATTTTTAAAAAGTTTGAATTTATGTTGATAGTAATGAATTGCGATTGTAATGACATTTAATTGATTACCTTTATAAGTTAAACAGAAAAATGGTGATTCAATGATTTTATTTCATATAAAATAATTCATTTGATATATAAAATTTAATTTTCTAACACAATAATATCTTATACAAGATGTTGTACATGAATTTCATATATATTATTTTGTGATGAACTAATTTATAAGCAAAGTTTATGTAAGTATTTATGTACAAATTATATTAAAAAAATTATAAATAAATATTGAGTAACTATTATATTAGAAATTAATGAATTAACTTCTAATGTAATGTTCATTCATTTATGTGAAGATTTCATTTATATCAAATTAAAATTATTTAAATAATTTTAGATTTAATATCAATTCTATTTTTTTTAACTTAATGACATCTAAAACAATTCAATTTTGTTTTTTTTGCAATAAGAAAATTGTCATTATCCATTTAGTATAAAATAACAGAAAAATATTTTAAGGTGATTATAAATGCTGAGTCTATGTATCGTTCTTTTTTTTAAGAAAATGCAACACGACTGCATTCTATGTGAATGCAGACATTTAAAAGTCTAAAAAATATATGCAGCTATTAAAAAAAAATCTGTTTATTTTTTAAGTTATGGCAACACAACACTTGGGTGATCTGCCTAGGGGGAATGCCTTCCAAGAGATCTTTTAAGAGAAACTGGCCCCTATTTAAGTGTTACAACTTGGAGAAAACCCGGAAAACTCCACATGGCCAGCCCGTCCAAGTGAGGCGCAAACCCACAACCAAACTCCCAGTGTTCAGTGTATGAAGACAAGTGGTGAGCCTAAAAAAATCTGAAAAATACCTATAAAAGTACATCATATATACAAGGCAATTAAAAAAAAACCACTTGTGAAAATTATTGCAAAGAGTTTGACACTACTGTGAATCTAACTTTGAGAACTGTGAGTCAATCACATTTGTTGTACCATTCAGTGTCATCAAATTCCTCACACTATTTCTCAAGAATTCTATTTTTGTTTGATTACCTTGTGTAATTAATAATGTATAATTAAAATATATACTTTATGTACAGTATACATTAAGATAATCTATATAAATTGTTTTATTAAAGTTTTACCTCTTCTTCCAATGTTTGGAGAATATGCTCCTTAAAAAATTTTTTCAACCATTCCCATTGTTTCTGAAAAATTTTTAATTCAGAATTAATATAATACATATATATTTATACTTATAAATAAAATAAGTACAGTAGATGCTTCATTTACAACTTAGTTATTGGAAGCAAGTTAGGTCAACCATAATAAATTGAAATGTGACTTTCCATAGATTCAGTGTAATAAATTGAGGTTCTCTATCAAACCAATTTCATATTTTAAGACATGATGATGCCAATTATAAATTATTATGCTTACAATCACTTAATAAAATTGTTTTTTTTTATATAGGTTTCAATAATTTCAAAGCCCTTTACAATTTTTTAAAGTATAATTATAAGGCATAAATGATATAATTTAAGCTCAAAAAATCAGTTAAATAAATTTGTTTTAAAATTGACTTTTTGAAAATGTCTATAAAATTTTGCTTCACATAATTTAAAACTCTAACTTCTTTTCTTTATCTATTTCTAGAAAAATAACTTGATTGTATAACTTTAGATCTTTCAAAATTTATTATTATAGATTTCTAAACAATTTTATTTTGAAAATTTAGTAACTTTTCTAGAAAGTAACATTATCACGTCATACAAAGAGCACAAATGTAAGATTTCTAATTAATTCTATAAAGCAATAAAAATTTATACCTGAGCTCTGAGTAGATGACTATGAACATCGAATTCATCTAATAATAATGTTTTACCAATGCAATGAACCATCATGCTGATATGTGACTTACTATATGGAATCTTCAATAATTTTTTGATATTCTGTAAAGTTTTAAAAATATTTAACTAAATATTCTAAGATCAAATTAATTAATTTATGACTGTATCAAAATTTCATACCTCTGAATCTGATATAACATCTACTTCTCCTACACAGTCTGGAAAATTATGCGCTAGATGAAAACTAAAAATACAAATTTAAAAATTATTGCAACAGCCGCATTCAGTTTCAAAATTTTTATTCTTGTGTAAACTGTTTCTGGATTTTTATACAGTAATACCCCAAATTTATGCGATAGGTGGGACCGAGTGATAACCACGTAAGTCGAATTCGCGTAAGTCGGGGTATAATTTTGTAATTTGTGTAAAATCCATATCAGACATATGTAAGCTAATAAATGTTCTCATTAATCTTATCTCGTCTTTTGATTCTTTCCTGGTTACAAGAAATTACCACATAGAGTCTCTCAAGTCTCTGTAAATATAACAAACACAGAAATAAATAACATAAAAAAAATTGTAGCTATGTGTCGATTCCGCGCGACACGTCCAAATATATAAGCTAAACAATAGTATGAGGGGAGTGAGTAATCAAGAGTTGCGTGACGCTCAAACAAAAGATGAATTGACGAGATTCGAAAATTGCGTAACTTCGGGTTTGCATAAGTCGGGGTAGCGTAAGTCGAGGTATTACTGTACTTTAAATATTGGTTTGCATATCTTATCTCAGATTTAAAAAATATATTATACTACGTTATTTCTGTTTTACCTGGAAAATGTTGTAGAATGGCTTCTTGGGTAAGCCCAACGTCCCCATCGTCCCTTCCATTTAGCCTGGCTTCTAAGCCAATTTGATGGTGGTTGATTCAGATCAGTATTGCTGCTCAATTCCATATAACGAGCGGGTGAATCTACAGCTGAGCATTTTACTACTGCCGTTGATTTCACATCTACACATATTTCTGATATGTCCTCGGAATGTGTAGTGATGCTTTCCTATAATATTTATATAAAATTTAAATATTTTACTTAATTTTATTAATATTATTATTAATTTATTTATTTAGAAAATTCAAAAGAAAAAAATTCAGTAAATATTTTACATTTGTTAAATTTAAAATACATTTTATTAATTATAAGCTTTATTATTAAAGTGTAATGACAACATTATTTACTTTATATCACTGTATTTAATCAAACTTAATTTATTTTTTTGTCTTTTTTCACTCTAACAAGAATGATTTTAACCATAGAATCATCAATTTGGCCAAAATTTACGTATACAAAAAAGTACATCTTAAATGAATTAATTAAATACCTAAAAGACAGATTACATCTCTGAAATATTCACAAAAAAATCAAATATGCATTAATTACTTAAAGCCTATTAACCCAGCATTTCGTAATATCCATTAATCCAACATGCTCAAGATTTATCAAAGCTCAAGAAAGGAAATAGGACTATGTGGTTATGAAAATACTTGCATTATAATAAAGAGGAAAAAGCTAGGTTCTGAACTTTCTACAAAAATAAAATCATATTACATATAGAGCCCAGTTATAAATACAGTAGTGCCTTGTGCCTTGAATTTAATTCATTTCAGGAAGCCATACAAACTGAATTGTTCTAGATCTTAACAAGTTTTACCCATTTAATATAAAGTGAATTAATCCATTCCCAGACTCTAAACAAATACCCATTTCAATACACTAAATTAAACAATAAATACACCACTAACTTCTTAAACATTTAAACATGATTGCAGATTCATCACACATGTACCACTTTCATGCTTTCACAATAAGTTCCTTGTCCTTTTTTCACCTCAACTGTCAATACCAGAGCCTCATCTTAGGCTTTGTTGCACTCTTCTTGAATGCCATAGTTACTAGGTAGAGGTTATAAATATATATAAAACACACCAAAAATAAAGCTGAAAAAGCACTGAAAATACAAAAGATGCTTTCACAGCAAGACAGAGAGAAGACTTGAGCACAAAACAGATGGCATTTATGCAGCGAGTATATTTTTTCACTGTCCCTGCAATGTATGTAACATGTTTACAAATTTCCTGATTATGTGACAGATGTTTAGTATGGCAGCTTTCTGCAATGTATGTTTCTAGACTTTATATAAGAGTGTATAATATGCCTGTGCAAGAAAGGACTAGAATAATAAGTACCTCATCCAGTTTACACAGATGCTTTACTTTGTTGAGAAGTTCTGAGTATTTATTCAATTTTTTTAGTGTAGACATTTTGCATGTTGTGGGTGTTTAGTATAGCTTTATTATTATACAGGGTTTCCCATAAATTATCCACCATTTTTTCTTGTGTAACTTTTCTACCATATAACTTTCTTAAAATTAATATTGTTTAATTCTGACATCTACCATTTAAACAATCATTTATCATATTTTTAAATAATTTTTAGCATGCACATCCAACAGGCATTTTTCTAATGGATGCTTATAGTATTAAACATGAATAAGCAAAACAGGTTAATTCAAGAACTTCTACTTTATGAATTCTGGATCATAAAGCAACTGATGTTAATCAAAACATTGTGTTGCAAAAGGTGCACAGAAGTGGATGGAAGAATGTCATCAATTGCTGAAAAATCATTATGATGATTGCTTCATCAAACATATTGTAATATGTGATGAAAAATGGATTTTCTTCTGAAATCCAGATATGCAAAAACAATAATTAAATTCAGGCCAGTTTCCAAAATCCATTACTAAATGATACAAGTTTGAATACAAAAGCGACATTGCATATTTGATAAAAGTTTGAATGGCTAATATATTCCAAGTTTAATTTGGTCACGGCTTAACTGCTAAACTTTACTCCTCCCAACTTGTATATACACTGCATTGGCACAACAAATCCTGCTTTAGTCAATTAAATGCATTTTGCTGCAAAGAATAAAGCATCACCACATATAACAGGAACAAAAGTTGAGATCTGAGAACTGGAACTTTTACCACACCTTACCTAAAGTCCCAATCTTGTACCATTGGATTACTAATTTTTCCAATCAATGGCACAATTTTTACATGAATGATGCTTCCATAATCTGAAGCAAGATTGCAGTGCACAAATGTTTTGGTATCAAAGAATATACAATGGTACATTCTTTAAAGAAATACAAGAGTTGACTGAAAGATGGATACAGACCATAGATAATAATAGTCAGTATTTTGAACAACAGAATTACTTTATGTAATTTTTATAATAAACAAATTTCTTATAACTACAGTAAATGACTGATAATTGATGGGACATTCTCTGTATCTGATTGACTTTTTCTTTGTTTAATTGATGTTATTCCTATNAGAAAATTATTTTTTGTTCTTCAAAATATAAATTGTTACTAATCACCCCCTCAATGTGGAAAAACGCCTACATGGGGGCGATATCACCCCCGTTGAGAAACACTGCACTAGACAGTTTAGGACAGAACACTACTGTTAAGAGATTTTCAAGCCTTTTTACATTTGGAGGAAAATGATATCCTGATAATAAGATCAAAATTTCCAAATTTTCTGTAAATATTCCCTTTAAGCACAATTAAGAACAATTTTCAAATATTTATGAAGTGTTTTTACCCATGAATATTCATCACGGAGTTGAATTATTATAATGAAATAGAAAAACTTTCTTTTACAAAATAATGTATCTTCTACATTTATTATCATCCTTATAAAACTGACACCATCCACTGCTATAAAAAATGCCTTTGAATTTTTTCATAATTCATTCCATAAACACACAAAAAATTTAATATATTTTAGTATGTCTTACCTCAACTTCTTTTATTGGATCAGGAATATTTACAGTATAATCAGTAAAGGGAGCAATTGGGCTAGTCGTCTCTCTTGATGATTTCAAGTTACTCGGTTTGGCTGTATCTTCGGAAGATTTTTCCGGTTTTGTCGATTCACTTTCTTCTTCAGAAGAACCTTCGGCAATACTATTTAAAAATTAAACTATTAATATGAACCTTAATGTATCTTACAATATATAGTATATGTTATGTTTGCAAACATATATTTTAAAAATTTTAATGTTTTTCATGCAGAACCATAAATAAAATTTTTTGACACTTCTGGTATACAGTGAAATGCAGTTTGCTTTAAAAAAGCAGAAAATCAATATAAGAAAATTATATTTTTTCCAGTTATTACTAAATAAATTGACAATTTCAGAATCAATACCAAATTTTTTAAAAAGCCATGATCCAATTGCAATATTGGAATTATAAAATTAAGAAATACTTAATGTTTTTGAGCATGAAAGTCACACCATTTTCAGAAACTGATCAATAAAACAATTAAATTGTTTAAAAGTACTGAAAATTCTTAAAGAACAAAGAACAAATAAATACGATTACATTCTATTGATATTTTCATAATAATGTACTGATATCAACATCAACCTCTAATAGAAATGGCAATCCATTAGAATAGGGACAATTAGCAATTAGTAGTCATTTCTGGAATCTTAACCAGGCTGTAAAAATGCACAGTAGCAGGGACCAGTCTATTTACTTAGTGAAAGGAATGACTGTCTGATGAATGTTTGACAGGGTTATTCTGCATTACCAAAAAGGGTTTTTAAATTTTTTAAAACTTTCAGAGCCCCAACTGAGTACTGTGCATCACCTAGCCAAAATATATGAAATATGTAATTGGGTTTAAAGGAAACTTAAACTCAGTATATCAAATACATTCTGAGGCCCCTTAATATTAACACTAATCTCATATAAGAATGTATAATTTAAATAAGCTCACAACTACCATTTAAGCATTTTCGCTGAGACATGGAAAGGATGCTTAATCATTTGGCAAAACCATCTTCTCAAGAGAATGACAAGCAAAGCTATCGATCGATTAATCCATTCAGAAAATATCTAGATCACATTTCCCTCATAATTTTTGAGTATGCTAGTATATTTATAAGCTATAATGATATACAAACATATGTATATTTTTATTATGTACTTTTATCAATTAAATTTTCCAATTGATCTATTTCAAACTTTATCGTGAGGAGTAATTTAAAACTATTAATAATTATGAATAAGGACATTCACAAAATGCTTGTGTGTATTAAAAAACTGCTTTTATAATGTCCAAATTATGCTTTAAAATGCTTTTTTCTAGCAAGAATAAACAAATTTTCTAAATACTTAAAAATGATACTTTTTTTAATCACATATTAATTGAAAGGTATAGTAAAGCAGTAGAATCAGTAGTAATTTTAACTGCTTGGTAAAGAAAAGTATTTTTTAGTCAGGCTGACTTTTGTTTCATATGCTTCACCAAAGAGACATGTCATTGAACAGTAGATTTTTTTCTCATAAGATACCATTTGAAGGCAATAACTGCAGTATAAACATCCTGGCTCTACATAAAAGCCTTCATTTGGAAAGTCATGCAATTGCATTTTTGCAGAAACACTTATATTTAGCATCACATTTATCTGATTTCCAATCTCTAATCAGTCATAAGTACTGTGAATCACAAAAACTAAACCTATCAATAACTCTACCTGCTTACACTTTAATCTCATCATCAACCAATTATTAAATTCACTTCTTTTTATCTTGTAAAATGTATGTCAAATATGTAGTATAATATTCATTTTCTATGATAAATAATTTTTTTGTTGTTTATTGTAAATAAATTATATAAATTTTAATACATAAATGAAAAAAGTAAGACAATTGGCAACTATGTCACTAAGCAGCACCACACCTGTTTATGGGTTTCATACTTGGTTCAGTATAAAAATGCTTTAGAATGCCATTTGACCTATAAATATGCTGTTGAATGCTTTAAATGCTTTCATATTACCCAAACTCTTTTTAATGCTTGGTCCAACTACTGAAATGTCTTCTAAAAGTATCTACATATCAGCAAATAATGTTTTATGAGCCCTTTCACAAGTTATTAACCAAAAATGCTTTTAATGCTTATAATGCTTTTGATTGTCTTTAATTATGAGGAATCTAATTTGTGAAAAGTTTTATAAAAGTTGTTATTTAACAAATTTGATTTAGCTAAATAAAGAACCCAATTTCCTTAGGTCTAACTTCCTTTGTGTAAACTCTTCCATTTGTTACGATAATTGTCCCAGACAATAACAAGCTAAGCCATCTATTTTCTATTTTACACAAAAACAGAAAACACATCTAAACTATATGATTGGCCTAAAAAAAAGGACAAAACTTGGCCTTGATTGGTTAACTCTCAAGAGAGAGAATCACAAGGTTAGAGAGTAAGAATGAAGAAAAAGACAGTGCAGTGACTCAAGAGATCAGAGGAACAATCTTTGATGCCATTCAATATCCCAAAACCACTTTAAGCTCTCCAAATAACTGAAAAATCCAACATTGAAGTCCAAGTAGGATCAACTATCTTCAACAACTGTCCACAACAGAATCATTGACCACTCACTAATCAATAAAAATAAAAACCATTCAACTATCCAGCAAGAAATGTGAAATCCAGCAGAATTTCACATTTCGAATTAGAGAAATAACTGAAGATGAATGCTTAATGCATTTGAAAACGTTTTTAAATTATTAAAGAATTTGCTGGATAGTTGAATGGTTTTTATTTTTATTGATTTTATTCTCCAGTAAGAAAGTATACTATCATTGACTACGATCAAAGTTTCAAACATTCAAGGTCAACCTTAATATAGATGGAATTAAGCGGGATGGGGTGATGCACTCTCTCTCTCTCTCTCATTTGTTGATATTATATTATACATTTTCCCTCAAGTCTTGAACAAAATCAACTTTTTTTTTAATTGAAAATTAGCATTTGTTACTATTGATGAGAGTATCGCAGCACTCTCCTAGGGACATTCCAGGTGGCGCTTAGATCTTTCTATATATAAGATGATCCTGTTCTATGTAGACTCTCTTCTTGTTCTTTTGTACAGTACATCTACTGTATATAGTGCATATTAAACTTTATTCCAACCAAACAATTCCTTTTACTCTAGCTCATTATCACACTCTGCACCAACTACAACAGTTACTCTCCATCATAAATCTATAAAACACTTGTTTTTTTCTGAACCAATGTCGAGAAAACTGTGGTTTGCCCAGGTCAACCTATTGGATCAGTAGGAAATTCAACCATACATAATTAAATAGAATCAAATAAAAATTAAATTAAAATTTCTAAGTTTATGTCTGTGCCGATGATTACGAAAATGGTCTGCTGTATATATTTTTGTCTGGAGATATTCTGACTTTTGAGTTTGATTTTCTAAAATATTTTTTATCATCACAAAAAGAAAACACAAATATTTACTCCTGCAAAATAGTTTATTTTTAATACCATTGTAAAATTTTTTAAATAGTTTATGAAGTAAATTCAATGTTTTTCTAGTTTTAACTTAGACCAATTTCATAACCAGTAAATATAATATTTATAAAATATTCTATAAGAAATACTCACCTATAATATAGGAATTTTGAAAACATATTCTTATTTTGCAAATAATCTCTACTTTTATTTTTACGAAGCATACATTTTTCCTATAAAAATATTATACAATTACTTTTAAAGTATGCAAATGTAATCAATCATATTTATCTATTATTGAAAGGAAAAAATAATTTAAAATTCAAAAATATAAAACGCTTTTATCTTTTTTAAATTCATTAGTTTAAAACTGCCATTTTATAGACTTTACCAAACTTTGAAAGGTTGTATAGATTTTTATGGACTTTAGTTTTTGCTGCTGATTGTACGCGCAAAACTAATTATTTTAATCTGAATTTTTGAATAGTATCACAAACTTGAATATGACGCATTGAATTTCATTTCATTTTATTAAAAATTTATTAACTATTTCTGATTTAATATGAACTAAACTGCAATAAATTTCTGTAATACAATACTGGAACAAGCTTTATAGTACATAAGAAAAAAAAATTAATGGAAAAATTTTTAAAAAGTTTGAATTTATGTTGATAGTAATGAATTGCGATTGTAATGACATTTAATTGATTACCTTTATAAGTTAAACAGAAAAATGGTGATTCAATGATTTTATTTCATATAAAATAATTCATTTGATATATAAAATTTAATTTTCTAACACAATAATATCTTATACAAGATGTTGTACATGAATTTCATATATATTATTTTGTGATGAACTAATTTATAAGCAAAGTTTATGTAAGTATTTATGTACAAATTATATTAAAAAAATTATAAATAAATATTGAGTAACTATTATATTAGAAATTAATGAATTAACTTCTAATGTAATGTTCATTCATTTATGTGAAGATTTCATTTATATCAAATTAAAATTATTTAAATAATTTTAGATTTAATATCAATTCTATTTTTTTTAACTTAATGACATCTAAAACAATTCAATTTTGTTTTTTTTGCAATAAGAAAATTGTCATTATCCATTTAGTATAAAATAACAGAAAAATATTTTAAGGTGATTATAAATGCTGAGTCTATGTATCGTTCTTTTTTTTAAGAAAATGCAACACGACTGCATTCTATGTGAATGCAGACATTTAAAAGTCTAAAAAATATATGCAGCTATTAAAAAAAAATCTGTTTATTTTTTAAGTTATGGCAACACAACACTTGGGTGATCTGCCTAGGGGGAATGCCTTCCAAGAGATCTTTTAAGAGAAACTGGCCCCTATTTAAGTGTTACAACTTGGAGAAAACCCGGAAAACTCCACATGGCCAGCCCGTCCAAGTGAGGCGCAAACCCACAACCAAACTCCCAGTGTTCAGTGTATGAAGACAAGTGGTGAGCCTAAAAAAATCTGAAAAATACCTATAAAAGTACATCATATATACAAGGCAATTAAAAAAAAACCACTTGTGAAAATTATTGCAAAGAGTTTGACACTACTGTGAATCTAACTTTGAGAACTGTGAGTCAATCACATTTGTTGTACCATTCAGTGTCATCAAATTCCTCACACTATTTCTCAAGAATTCTATTTTTGTTTGATTACCTTGTGTAATTAATAATGTATAATTAAAATATATACTTTATGTACAGTATACATTAAGATAATCTATATAAATTGTTTTATTAAAGTTTTACCTCTTCTTCCAATGTTTGGAGAATATGCTCCTTAAAAAATTTTTTCAACCATTCCCATTGTTTCTGAAAAATTTTTAATTCAGAATTAATATAATACATATATATTTATACTTATAAATAAAATAAGTACAGTAGATGCTTCATTTACAACTTAGTTATTGGAAGCAAGTTAGGTCAACCATAATAAATTGAAATGTGACTTTCCATAGATTCAGTGTAATAAATTGAGGTTCTCTATCAAACCAATTTCATATTTTAAGACATGATGATGCCAATTATAAATTATTATGCTTACAATCACTTAATAAAATTGTTTTTTTTTATATAGGTTTCAATAATTTCAAAGCCCTTTACAATTTTTTAAAGTATAATTATAAGGCATAAATGATATAATTTAAGCTCAAAAAATCAGTTAAATAAATTTGTTTTAAAATTGACTTTTTGAAAATGTCTATAAAATTTTGCTTCACATAATTTAAAACTCTAACTTCTTTTCTTTATCTATTTCTAGAAAAATAACTTGATTGTATAACTTTAGATCTTTCAAAATTTATTATTATAGATTTCTAAACAATTTTATTTTGAAAATTTAGTAACTTTTCTAGAAAGTAACATTATCACGTCATACAAAGAGCACAAATGTAAGATTTCTAATTAATTCTATAAAGCAATAAAAATTTATACCTGAGCTCTGAGTAGATGACTATGAACATCGAATTCATCTAATAATAATGTTTTACCAATGCAATGAACCATCATGCTGATATGTGACTTACTATATGGAATCTTCAATAATTTTTTGATATTCTGTAAAGTTTTAAAAATATTTAACTAAATATTCTAAGATCAAATTAATTAATTTATGACTGTATCAAAATTTCATACCTCTGAATCTGATATAACATCTACTTCTCCTACACAGTCTGGAAAATTATGCGCTAGATGAAAACTAAAAATACAAATTTAAAAATTATTGCAACAGCCGCATTCAGTTTCAAAATTTTTATTCTTGTGTAAACTGTTTCTGGATTTTTATACAGTAATACCCCAAATTTATGCGATAGGTGGGACCGAGTGATAACCACGTAAGTCGAATTCGCGTAAGTCGGGGTATAATTTTGTAATTTGTGTAAAATCCATATCAGACATATGTAAGCTAATAAATGTTCTCATTAATCTTATCTCGTCTTTTGATTCTTTCCTGGTTACAAGAAATTACCACATAGAGTCTCTCAAGTCTCTGTAAATATAACAAACACAGAAATAAATAACATAAAAAAAATTGTAGCTATGTGTCGATTCCGCGCGACACGTCCAAATATATAAGCTAAACAATAGTATGAGGGGAGTGAGTAATCAAGAGTTGCGTGACGCTCAAACAAAAGATGAATTGACGAGATTCGAAAATTGCGTAACTTCGGGTTTGCATAAGTCGGGGTAGCGTAAGTCGAGGTATTACTGTACTTTAAATATTGGTTTGCATATCTTATCTCAGATTTAAAAAATATATTATACTACGTTATTTCTGTTTTACCTGGAAAATGTTGTAGAATGGCTTCTTGGGTAAGCCCAACGTCCCCATCGTCCCTTCCATTTAGCCTGGCTTCTAAGCCAATTTGATGGTGGTTGATTCAGATCAGTATTGCTGCTCAATTCCATATAACGAGCGGGTGAATCTACAGCTGAGCATTTTACTACTGCCGTTGATTTCACATCTACACATATTTCTGATATGTCCTCGGAATGTGTAGTGATGCTTTCCTATAATATTTATATAAAATTTAAATATTTTACTTAATTTTATTAATATTATTATTAATTTATTTATTTAGAAAATTCAAAAGAAAAAAATTCAGTAAATATTTTACATTTGTTAAATTTAAAATACATTTTATTAATTATAAGCTTTATTATTAAAGTGTAATGACAACATTATTTACTTTATATCACTGTATTTAATCAAACTTAATTTATTTTTTTGTCTTTTTTCACTCTAACAAGAATGATTTTAACCATAGAATCATCAATTTGGCCAAAATTTACGTATACAAAAAAGTACATCTTAAATGAATTAATTAAATACCTAAAAGACAGATTACATCTCTGAAATATTCACAAAAAAATCAAATATGCATTAATTACTTAAAGCCTATTAACCCAGCATTTCGTAATATCCATTAATCCAACATGCTCAAGATTTATCAAAGCTCAAGAAAGGAAATAGGACTATGTGGTTATGAAAATACTTGCATTATAATAAAGAGGAAAAAGCTAGGTTCTGAACTTTCTACAAAAATAAAATCATATTACATATAGAGCCCAGTTATAAATACAGTAGCGCCTTGTGCCTTGAATTTAATTCATTTCAGGAAGCCATACAAACTGAATTGTTTTAGATCTTAACAAGTTTTACCCATTTAATATAAAGTGAATTAATCCATTCCCAGACTCTAAACAAATACCCATTTCAATACACTAAATTAAACAATAAATACACCACTAACTTCTTAAACATTTAAACATGATTGCAGATTCATCACACATGTACCACTTTCATGCTTTCACAATAAGTTCCTTGTCCTTTTTTCACCTCAACTGTCAATACCAGAGCCTCATCTTAGGCTTTGTTGCACTCTTCTTGAATGCCATAGTTACTAGGTAGAGGTTATAAATATATATAAAACACACCAAAAATAAAGCTGAAAAAGCACTGAAAATACAAAAGATGCTTTCACAGCAAGACAGAGAGAAGACTTGAGCACAAAACAGATGGCATTTATGCAGCGAGTATATTTTTTCACTGTCCCTGCAATGTATGTAACATGTTTACAAATTTCCTGATTATGTGACAGATGTTTAGTATGGCAGCTTTCTGCAATGTATGTTTCTAGACTTTATATAAGAGTGTGTAATATGCCTGTGCAAGAAAGGACTAGAATAATAAGTACCTCATCCAGTTTACACAGATGCTTTACTTTGTTGAGAAGTTCTGAGTATTTATTCAATTTCTTTAGTGTAGACATTTTGCATGTTGTGGGTGTTTAGTATAGCTTTATTATTATACAGGGTTTCCCATAAATTATCCACCATTTTTTCTTGTGTAACTTTTCTACCATATAACTTTCTTAAAATTAATATTGTTTAATTCTGACATCTACCATTTAAACAATCATTTATCATATTTTTAAATAATTTTTAGCATGCACATCCAACAGGCATTTTTCTAATGGATGCTTATAGTATTAAACATGAATAAGCAAAACAGGTTAATTCAAGAACTTCTACTTTATGAATTCTGGATCATAAAGCAACTGATGTTAATCAAAACATTGTGTTGCAAAAGGTGCACAGAAGTGGATGGAAGAATGTCATCAATTGCTGAAAAATCATTATGATGATTGCTTCATCAAACATATTGTAATATGTGATGAAAAATGGATTTTCTTCTGAAATCCAGATATGCAAAAACAATAATTAAATTCAGGCCAGTTTCCAAAATCCATTACTAAATGATACAAGTTTGAATACAAAAGCGACATTGCATATTTGATAAAAGTTTGAATGGCTAATATATTCCAAGTTTAATTTGGTCACGGCTTAACTGCTAAACTTTACTCCTCCCAACTTGTATATACACTGCATTGGCACAACAAATCCTGCTTTAGTCAATTAAATGCATTTTGCTGCAAAGAATAAAGCATCACCACATATAACAGGAACAAAAGTTGAGATCTGAGAACTGGAACTTTTACCACACCTTACCTAAAGTCCCAATCTTGTACCATTGGATTACTAATTTTTCCAATCAATGGCACAATTTTTACATGAATGATGCTTCCATAATCTGAAGCAAGATTGCAGTGCACAAATGTTTTGGTATCAAAGAATATACAATGGTACATTCTTTAAAGAAATACAAGAGTTGACTGAAAGATGGATACAGACCATAGATAATAATAGTCAGTATTTTGAACAACAGAATTACTTTATGTAATTTTTATAATAAACAAATTTCTTATAACTGATAATTGATGGGACATTCTCTGTATCTGATTGACTTTTTCTTTGTTTAATTGATGTTATTCCTATAATCTTAAGGCTTTCAGAGAATAAGTTCCACATCCATAACTACTCTAAGCCCCATTCTCATCTATCTGGTCCATGATTGCATCCAATAAATATTTCTTATTATGGGCTATAAGTGGAATTATATATACTGATGGAATTTCCCACTATCCCTCTTGTATCCACAATTATTAAATGCAGAATATTTTAAGAAATCTATATATCAGTGAGAGTGATAGATAATATATACATCAGTGAACTTTTATAATACAAGTAACTCCCGTATAACACGGCACTTCTATAGCACGGATTCACTCTAACACGGTTCGAAAATTGGTACCATCCCCCGTATAACTAGGTACTTTTATAGCACGGATTCACTCTGACACGGTTGGAGAAATGGGTAAAACCCTCATACAACATGAAATGTAATAAATTTTTACATACTTAAGTACTAATAGTTCACGAAAATTATTATTTTCGTGAACTATTAGTACTTCAGTGTGTAAATTTTCTTTTCTCGTCTCCATACACATGGTCCTTCGCGAAAATTGTTTCAATTTTGCCAGATCTCGACGCTTCTGCTTCTGGTGTTGCCAGATGTTTTTCCATTATCCCATAAGTGCTTAGCACCATATAAGGAAATTTATAAAGATCTTTTAACTAGAAGCAAGCAATCTAAAATTACATACACTTTTTGCAAAAGGTAAAGCATGAATCTGAAAATAATGCAAAAAAATGCTCAGAGGATAACGATAACTTGCCAACAATAAAACGCTCTCGGTTTATAGTGCTTTTAGTGATGACAAAGAAAACATTGTTTAATTTATATTAATATGTATCACTTAAAAAAATGTTAATAAAGATATTTATCTTAATTATGAAAATATAGTAACATGTTTTTTAATTTTTGGAATCTAACCCTCCTTTTCGTACTAGTTCTTTGTTTCGCATAACACGGCAATTTTTTGGAACGTAACTACCGTGTTATACGGGGGTTACCTGTATTATAATACGTAAAACATTGCCAAAGTTGCCAAGTTTAAAATAAATCTGAAAATATACAAATTATTACAAAATAATTCAACTATTTCCACATTGTTAATTAGGAAATGTCTCAACATGACTGCTCCATTTATGAAACTGATAATGTATATCAAGTTAGACTCTTTATTCATCAACGTCTTGTATACCAAATATCTGACTTCTAACCTGAAACAGGCCTGTAAATTGGGACAAAAACATTGTTCTGTGAAAAAAATTATTGCTAAAAAAATTATAAGTTGTAAATTTTATATTTTGTATGATGTTTTGAACAAATAAACAAATCACATTACAATTTACAATATATAATCATGTACTCCAAACTGATTATGATGTGTAGATAAAGAAAACAAACAAAAACTAATGTTTTCAAACTCCTTCCAAGTTCTTCATCAGGTTACAATATATAATGATGTTTGCATACTGTACATTGGTAAAAAGAAATAAATAAATACAATATCAATACGGAATTTCCTCGTAAACTATCAAGATGACAAGTATCATAAGAATTCCACAGGACCCAGGTATCTTGGTCTTGTCTATATTCCATTTTAAACACTTCTTGCCCTCTATCTTCATTTCTTAACCCTTTTAGTTGTAAGTTTAGTCATAAAGATTAATTGTAAGGGTTTTATTTTTGTAACATTTGTTTTTCTTTGTTTATTGTTTAAGTCATTAATATCTTAATTTTGTGGTGTATAAAAAATTTTAGCAGTTTCTATCAATGGTCAAGTATTTGGGTAGATGCTGGGAGATTATCCTAGAATAGGCATCCATTAATGTACCTGCTACAAAGAAAATTAAGCATTATTTTATCTATAGGATTGTTTGTTCTTTTGTCATCATCTTGTGTGTTTGCCTTTGTGGGCCAACAGTTAGACATCATATTTCACAGTGTATAAGCACACTATACAGTTCAGTTTTCAAATGGCATAAATCTTGACCAATGATATACTCAGATGCACTGTCAAATGTAATATCTTACTTCCTCTATTAGCATCTCATTAAAATCTTTGCTTTCCATTTTGTTAAAAATTTTTTTCTATGCAATTATATATATATAATACAATGTACATTATTATGCAATTATATATTACAGTTACTAGATGATTCTACATTCCAAACTAAGTAAACATAAAAGAACATTTCTTATTGACTGTGATGTTTTTACATAAATCTTTGATGATTGGTGATTTCTTCATTGAAAAGTTTGACTAGCTAAATGTTACTGTCTCGTCTGTTCCATCTGTCATCAATATTTCATTGCTATGGTAACGGCCAGTGAAGATGGTCAGACCAGACCAGACAATCTTAGTGTGAATCTGTCTTTACCAAGAACACACCCCATGTGTTTGGCCAGATAAACAATAGGTCAGCCAAGTGGCAAAATATGAAGCATGATACATTTAGGGCAAACCATTCTTAAAAATTAGAATTCAACAGGATTCAAGCTCAGGTTCCTCAAAACGGTACACTGAAGCATTTACCATCTCACCATCCATCCATCCATCAATACAAGTTAGTTTTAGTTACTTTGAAAATACTATACATAAATATATGAATGAATAAAGTCAGTTTCCACTACAGCTTATAGATCCATCACTCTCAATGATTGCACATGTCTACAAACATCCCAAACAACAACAGATCAA